GATAGAAGCGATAAGTATGCGTGACAGAAAGTTTTTTCCCTATGAAGCATTCTTATTAATCCTGTTTATTCTCAAACACCACCAGAACATTAAATGTTGATATTCTCAAACACCACCAGAACATTAAATGTTGATATGGCTGAAAGATAATTGTATGTGCATAAGCCTAATCAGATACACTTCCTTAAAGACACTATAAAAGAGCAAGTGCTGACAGACAGCTTACAGCTCTTGAGGATAGATGTTGTCTCAACGGAGACAGTGATGTCCCAGATGTGGATACAAGCAGATATATTTAAGAAATAAATATGGCATGCCGCATGTTGACACATGGCATCATGTTGAAATCATGTTTTATGATTCTCCATTGTTGAACTCTCCACCTCCTGAAGATGGAAAGTAAATTACCTCTGGGACAAAGTGAGTCTTCAAGCAATATAGGAAGCCTGCAGAGATACTGATGGTATGGATTCAGCATTCACACTTAGGCTAGTGTGTGTTATGTGGATGAAAATCTCTGGCCAGTGGCCACCAGGGATTTTTGAAATGAAAGTCTTCTTTAATTACGTACATCTGTGATAGCCTATGTCTTTATGTATCTAACCAACAGTGAACCAAAACATCGACGTTTTGATGTTAGTAGTCCTATATTTACTGTTATATATTTGTTACCTGAAAAGAATGCACTAATTATTTAAGGAATAATATAGGATACCATTTAAAGGTGTTAATGTTTAAAATTATGTACGTAGCCTACCTTATCTTGTTAGACTGCTACTTGGACAAAACAAAATCCCGAAATCGGAGTCAAGTCGGCGCTCCACGGGTGACGATCGCTACTGGCTAAGTGTGATGAGACGCATTAAACTAAATAGCCCCGGTATTGTGAGACGTCTATGATTTTTTATTCACAAATTGTAATATGCTAAATAAAGAACATGTGTGGGTAATTGTTTTAGAAGGATTGATGTCAACAGAAACTTACAAAAATAACTGAGGGAAATCTGTCGCGTTTATTAGCTTGACGACAGTGACCTCTTATGGTAGGGTAAGATAGGCTACTACATGGGTATTAAAAAAAACGTTTTAGGGGCCTTTTTTCCACTGTAAATATGACACCATGTACTAAAGATTACTTTTAAGTATGGGCTACAATGCTAAATAGCATAAAATGCTAAATTAAGATTATAAACATACAGGCAAACACATACAGGCAAAACTGCTCCAGTGCTTTAAGTACTATCAATGTATGCAGACTGGCACTTTTCTTGAAAAAAAAAAAAAAAACACAAAACAAGAGACTGTAATGTATGCGCTTTATAATGCTTTATTAAGATTTTAATTTATTTAATTGAAAGGAAAAAATACATAATTATATCATGCATTACCAAATAGAGCAGTCTAAAGATTTCTTTTAAATGCCCCCTTCAAGAAATAACATAGAATAGAAATAATACCGTAGAAATAAATAATAGAATATGCCTAGGAAAGGTCCCCTCACATGGATTTCGCCTCCAGGCAGCAAGAACAGCTGTCAATCAATCAATCAACTTTTATTTAAAGCACAATAACAACAGTAGTTGAACATTGTGCTGTACAGCAGAATAAATATCTTAAAAACAAGACCGACCGCAAAGAGAAAGGGTGTTTACATCGAAACCGCCAATTTGACCATACAACAAATCAAGGACACTTGTAGGCCAGTGAAAACAGGTAGGTTTTTAACTTAGATTTAAAAACAGACTCAGTGGATATTAATCTTAAAGATACAGGAAGACTATTCCACAGTTTTGGACCAACAACAGAAAATGCACGGTCACCTCTCGTCTTCAGCCTTGATCTTGGAACCATCATCAACAATCTTTGTTGAGATGACCTCAGTGATCTAGTATGGTCATTTGATTTCAAAAGATCAGACAGATGGAGCTAAATTGTTCATGGCTTTAAAAACAAAAAGCAAAATATTAAACTCAATTCTATAACAAACTGGTAGCCAGTGCAACGAACACAGTATTGGGGTAACATGATCAAACTTCCTTGTGCCAGTCAAAAGTCTGGCTGGACCATTTGAAGACGACTAATATTGGACTGAGTCATTCCAATATAAAGAGAATTACAATAGTCAAGTCTAGATGAGATGAACAAATGAATCACTCTCTCAAACTCTGCAAATGTCAAAAAGCTCTTTGCCTTATAAAATAGTCTTAATCGGAAGAAACTAGATTTAACTACAGCACTTATCTGTTTGTCAAATTTAAGAGCAGAATCAAAGATAACACCCAAGTTTGTCAGTGAGGGTTTAACATGGCCAAAACTCCACTGGGGTCACCAATGGGCATAATAGAAAGGTACCAAAAATGATAGCTTCAGTTTTGCTCTTGTTTAGGTGCAAAAAATTTGAGGAAAACCAGGACTTAACATCAGACACGCTGATAATAAGCTTAATCCCATTTTATCATTTTTCTTTAGAGGCAGATAAATCTGGGTGTCATCAGCATAAAAATGAAATGACACACCATGTTTAGAGAAGATAGTCAAAGGAAGCAGATACAACGAGAACAAAGCTGGAGACAGAATGGAGCCCTGAGGGACTCCATAATCCAGAACAGAAACAGAAGAAGAAAACCCAACTAAACAAACAGAAAATGTTCTGGCATCTAGATTGGACTTAAATCAATCTAGAGTGCTGCCTTCAAGCTGTGTATCATGATGTTATTTTCCATTGAATAGCCTACCTATGTAGGTTTCCAAGAAAACACCAGTCATATGTGTGTAGCACAGCTGGATGTAAGTTTATACGGGATCCACACAAAGGACAAACTGAAAGGTGTAGGAATTTCATTGGATATTTGACAAAATATCAAACCAAATGGCCAACAAATTAGTTAAAAACCCTTGATCCTCACCTGACTATGGCTTTGTCAACTGTATCCATGATGTTGTTTATAATGGACTATGTCTGTGGTACAGAAACAGTGGCAATGTTATGTTACACACTGACTCTGGCTATTATCTTTTGTCTCAGAAGACGATTATTTGTCCCGTTTTAGCCACCGTAGCTTCTTCGAAAGGGAGGGGTGAGCAGTGGGCTGAGCCATTAGTGCAACTCGCAACCAAACCGCAAGATGTCGCTAAAACTCACAAAGCATGTACATGTACAAAACATGTACATTTTCTTTAATTTACTACATTTACACGTTTTATTTTCTTGAAACATTACATGACATTCTCTAACCCAAGGTTCAAACCGTTCAAACACTGCCATTTCGATCTTTAAATTAATATTTCGTCCCATAGGCTACCATTTGCCACCATTATGACTTTATTCCACAAAATGAGTTATTTACTGTATACTGCAGCAGAATATCCAATCTGCTCTTTTTCATAAAAAATGAAAGTGAACGTTGTCCATGACTGTCAAGAAAGATTTTTAGTGAAGTGAAATTTTTGTTACTCACACAAAGAAGACCAAAAACAACTTTTGTTATAGTGCGTTTTTATGAGTCCCAGTCCTCTTTCATCGTTTGGAATAATATAATCGTGAGTTAATGATGACTATTTAAATTTGTTTCTATGGCAGTGATAATGTTTTGAGATCATTGACAAAAACTGAAATATGAATACGCATGTCCAAAATAAAATACGCATGTCCATACTCAGGCAGTAGAAGAAAGCAACAGGCATACAAAATACAAGCATAACAAGGGTGTAAAATTAGCTCTAGAATTACAGATAGCCTATTCAGGTACACAATCATCTAGATTAAAGGGTGGCCATTGTTTAAAGCTCTCTGACATGATAAACGTCATAAACGTGACTTTCCCTTTCAGAACTGAAAGTTTAAGAATTAAGTTTCTTGATACCTTAAGAGTCTGTCTGGTGTTGTCTGGTACATCATAAGTAGGCTACAGCATCTTGTGTACATGATCCACAGCACTCTCCTTTTTTCACATATTCACCATATTCTTATGTTTTAAAAGTGAAGTTAACTTGTAGCCTACATCATCAGTTTTCCATTGGCGTAGGCTACAAAAAGTTTTTTCTCTAAAATGTCCCATTTTTTCCCCCATCTCATTTTACATTTATTTGTATAGCGCTTTTTACAATACACATTGTTTCAAAGTAGCTTTACAGAAAATATATTGAGTCCATATTACAATTTAGAGTACCAGTAATCTGTTATCAGAACTGTCAGAGGTTATTTTTTCAGAAATGTACATAAATTACAGTTAGCTAAAATCTATTAATTTAAACATTAATGTAATAATTTAAGGCTGAAACAATAAGCTCATTGAAGTAATGAATTCTGTTAACAAATGATTATGACATTAGGTGTGTGTGTGTGTGTGTGTGTGTACTTGAGAAGGTACTTTCTTCAGGAAATGCAAATCTGTTTTGAAATAATGTGTCATTGAAATTCAGTTAGTTATACAGAAAATTTTAAAATACTCAGATGTATTCTTAAACCCAGTGTATCTATTCTGGTATTAATGTTACAGGCAAAGTCTGTATTCTGTATTTGGTGACTGAGGGTCTGACCATGTAATGCAATAACAGTGTTTACCCATTTAGCCCGGACCAGCTAGGCCCGGACTTGTTTTGAACTTAATTCATCTGCTCATATAACCACATTAACTAAGAGTCAAAATTTGTAGAAAGAGTTTGAATTCTAAGGACCTCATACAAGAAAATCTCGATTCGTTATAATAGAATAAATACATTTACATCGATAGTCTGGCGTTATAATTTATTTGCTTTTGGTGCACTGTTGAGTGGGTAAAACTGTTTTTAATGGCAGGCTAGCTGCATTGACTCGCGCTAGCCTAGCACCGGCGAAATATGCAACTGGAACGACTGGATGAAAACTGTCCCCACTGACAAATAACACTATGGCTAACTTGGAAAAGTTTTTACTCCAATGCTTTCTTTAATCGTTGTATGCAGTCTGACATTTTGTTTAGAACAAAAAAAAAAAAAAAAAAAAAATCAGGAGACTGTAATTGATGCTCTTTATTATGCTTTATTTTAATTTGAATTCATTTCATTGGAAAGAAAAGTACATCATTAAATCATGCATTAGCTACCAGAGAGTCTAAAGAATACAAAAATGCCCCCTTCAAGAACTGACTAAATAAATCATGCTTAGAGTTAACTTTCCCCCTTGATGAAACCACAAAGAAAAAATAAGTGGTGCAATATTTGCCAAAATAATTTTAGCTATAATGCACTACAACAATCAGCTTAAATCATTGTTGTCATTTTCAATAATACATTTTAAAATTGTTGCTTTTTAGTGACCGATTGAGTCACTTTTAAATCAGCAGAAGTCAAGCAGGATCTTTTTATCCAGAGTTATTCTTGTCCACACATTCGGTGCATGTGCAGCTCTCAACATACATGTAGTGATGAAGGATCTCGCTGCTATTGGCACACTTCAGCATCACCTGTCGTTTGCTGGATTTCTTCTCCTGGCAGCAAGAACAGGTGTGGTTCATGCTGTTCTTTTCCATCGAATACCTGTGTAGGTTTCCAAGAAAACATCAGTCTTGTGAGTCTAGCAAAGCTGGATGTGAGTTTATACAGGATCCACACATAGGTCTGGATGCTAAGGTACATACAAGTGTATGAATTTCTTTGGATACCTGACAAAATTTCAAATCAAATGCCTAATGCTTACAAATGATGATAGAGTGAACACTAAAATTAAGCTGAATTTGTAACCCTGTTTATTTTTTTAATGTTATTATTATATCGATAATTGAATCTTTATTGCCAAATGATAATGATAATAATAATAATAATAATAATACAATTACATTAAAATAAAACCGTTCACATTATATTATGGTTGACGATCCACATTTCCTAAAGGTTAAGGGGATACTCCACCCAAAAATGAAAATTCTGTCATCATTTACTCACCCTCAAGTTGTTTGACACCTTTTCAGCAGAAGAAAGAAACTCATAGGTTTGCAACAACTTGAGGGTGAGTAAATGATGACAGAATTTTCATTTTTGAGTGGAGTATCCCTTTAAGAATTTGAGACCATGTGTGTGATCATTAGGCGTGTATTGCTCTCACAGTGATTTGCTGTCACACTGGCCAGTGCAGGAAGTGACTTCAACATTATCAATGGAAGTGCAATTATCGTAACGCAGACGGGTGACGTTCTTCCCAAGCACACAGTTTGTGGGTTCACCTGAAAGATAATATAGGCGGGTAAGCTTGTGACTAAATCTCATGAACAGCACATTCATTGCATTTTAAGTAGAGCCTATTATAATATATTTGAATTTACTTACATATATGAGCTACATAAACACAACAGGGTGGACAAAACCATTTTAACATTAAAAAATACAATGTGTCAGGAAGTTTTGTATAAAGTTTATCTTACAGATTTCACAACATCCATCCTGGTCAAATTTAATTGTTCCCTGTAAAGACACAAATAATAGAAAAGAGAACATTATTTACAGATTTTTTTTTTTTTTAAATATGGTAAAATCTCTCAAAACATTTATCTAATTTTATCCAATATTGCACATTCATACTAAAAAGCTTACAACAAAAAGTTTCTGAAACAGTTAGCACTGCCATCTAGCGTATTAAATGAATAATTCACACCATTTTGTCATTAGTTACTCATCCTTTATTACTTTCTTTCTTGTATGAAACACAAAATGTGTTACTTATTGCAAAATTTCCAAGCCCGTCTTGTTTTAGACAGTGCACGTCAATGTTGACCATGGCTGTTCAAACAACAACTTAAATGTTGGTCAGTTCCTCACATATTGTAAAGAAGACTTACAGTTGTATGTAATGTTTTTATAACCCTGACAGCACTTTTTTTGCCCTGTTAATTGTTTTGAACATTGACCTTAGTCTGGAGAAATATGGGGAAAGTAATATGTCCACACTTAAGCACTTGCAGAAAGCAACAGGCATATAAAATACAAACTGAACAAGTGTGTCATGCATTGAGTTGAATATAGAGAATGTACTTACTGGCTCACAGTACACTGGATTAAATTTAGGGCATGTTTTAATGCTCTCCACAATAGCAAATGAGTCATTCACTTTAATGCAGTTAGCAGTTGTACATTTGAATTTGTACCCCTCATGAACCTAAAAAAAAAGACAGATACAGTGTAGAAGGCTATATTAGATTTTTGGTCTAGTGAACTGAAAGAATAAAGAAAAGTTCGAGAATGTACCTTGAGAGTATGCCTTGTGTTGTCTGGGGCATCATATAGACATTCCACTTGTGTACACGTTCCACAGCACTCTCCAACGTTTTTCACATATGATTGCCCCTGTGTGTAAAAACATGTTTTAGCTTGAATATTTCACTCCTTTTAAAAACAACCAGGATCGGATTCACAAAACATTCTTGTTTTCAATTTAAGAATGTAGTTAGAAAGTACTGTTTTTATAAATCATTGTAAATAACATATTAAAGTTAACATAACCTCCAACTTGTCTAAAATCTACAAAGTTAAGATGTGTAATGCATGTGTTGTGTAGTTACAAATGAAGAGTTCAGATGCAAAAGCTTTTAAATGCCATTTGAAATTTTCTTCTTTAATGATGATTTTTATCAAACTTGTATATTTAAGTTCAGTAATAGTGAAATTACTGAACTTAAATATACAAGTTTGATAAAAATCATCATTAAAGAAGAAAATTTCAAATGGCATTTAGAGGCTTTTGCATCTGAGCTCTTCAAATGTTAAAGGAGTAGTTCACTTTTAAAAAAAACTTTTGCGGATAATTTACTCACCCCCATGTCATCCAAGATATCCATGTCATTCTTTCTTCATTCTTTCTTCATCAAAAAGGTTTTTGATGAAAACATTCCAAGATTTTTCTCCATATAATGCACTTTACTGGTAACCAAACGGTTCAAGGTCCAAAAGACAGTTTCAGTGCAAACTGCAAACTGTTCAAAGGGCTTTAAACAATTTCAGACGATGAATAAGGGTCTTATCTAGCGAAACAATCGCTCATTTGAAAAAAAAAAAAAAAAAAGTGTAAATTTATAAGCTCAAATGCTCGCCTTGCTCTGTTCTGTGTGACTCTCTTGTTCGAACTCGTTCATCAACATTAACAAATCTTTTTCCGAGTCAATTCATTTATTTTGTTCGTTGAATGAACCAAATGACTCGAAAAAAGATTTGTTAATTTAGATGAATGAGTTCAAACAGTAGAGTCACGAACGCACACCATTTGAGCTTATATAAAACTTTGTTATTTATTTTTTAAATGAGCGATCGATTCGCTTGATAAGACCCTTATTCATCGTCTGGAATCGTTTAAAGCCCTTTGAACAGTTTGCACTGAAACTCTCATTTGGACCTTGAACCGTTTGGTTACCATTGAAGTCCATTATATGGAGAAAAATCCTGGAATGTTTTCATCAAAAACCTTAATTTCTTTTCGACTGAAGAAAGAAAGACATGGACATCTTGGATGACATGGGGGTGAGTAAATTATCAGCAAAAGTTTTTTCAAAAGTAAACGACTCCTTTAAGCATTACTGGAGCTGAAGCTAGAGCTTCTACTTACAGGCCCACAGCTAAGTGAACTCGTGTAAGGACATTCTCTTATACTCTTCTCAGTCACAAGCGAGCCATTAATTTCACGACAGGATACATTTTCACATTTGGAACTGTAGACTTCTCCAACCTAACAAAAGACAGACTTTGTGAGGATTGAAGAACAAAGCAGATTCTTTGTTTGGGGAACTGAAAGAATGAAGAAAAGATGTACCCTGAGAGTATGTGTAGTGTTGTCCGCCATGTAAGTACAGTTCTTTGGTACACATGTTCCACAGCACTCTCCTTCTTGTTTCACATATTCAGAGCCCTTGATGTGCAGAAACAAGTTTGTCGTATTAATAATCACTTTTTCTGCATTTATAACTCTAAAATAAGTAAAAAGTTGAGGAAAGAACAAGAGGTGATTCTCTTTCTGAGTTCTAGAGGACCAAGAAATGGGTGTGTGAAATAAAGAAAACACCCAAAACCAGGATTGCAAATAGTGTGAGAAGGTGAGCAAAGACGATAGGTTGGTAGAGAGGTACAGGACATACTTTAAATGAGATGGAACAGACAGTATAGCCAAATGTTAGAGAATGTACAGTGACTTTCTATTTTTTATATACTGTATGGTTGGGAGTTTACAGTATAATATAAAATGGTCGACTCACATCCTTAGTAGAAGTACACAACTGATACTGTAACCATCCAAACTATAATTTGTTCGCCTTACTACAAGTGTAAGTTTTAATTATTACCTCAGCACAAGGTGCACAGACTTTAGTAAAACATGTCACATTATGTAGTTGAGTCTGTGGGTCTTTGTCCATTTCACAGTAACATTCCACACAAAGCTCCGTAGGGATTTTAACTCCAGGCTAGAGAGAAGAGCAAAGTAAGGAACGTGAACCCAACATTAGATGATGGACTTCCTTTATACCAGAAGCATCATGCCTATCCAAACCTCCTTAGATGTTGTGTATTTGAATTACTTAAATTACATCATTGATTAAAGTCAAAAAGTCTAAAACAATATGGTGCATATGTTCAACCCACCCTCCTTCTGTTCAAAGAATTTCAAAGCTGTGAAAATGGTAGAACTGACAAATTACACCACAGGAAAACAAGACTTTTAATTTAACAGTGGTTTATGCATTTGTGTCATTTTAAAATAACCAGGCTTTACCTATCGTATGTAATTCGAGTAAAAGAATGAACCTAACATCTCACCTTGTATTCAGTGTTATTGTACACACAGACGTCTTTGCGAACTGGTCAGAAAAATAAAAAATATTAGAAATGGCTTACTAATTCGGTTCAGTAAATCCTGACACATATGCCCATTCAAATTCAATATGTCCATTGAATTTACTTGTAAAGTATGTTCTGTAACAGCAATAATATGAACAAATACTGGTTTAAACTACTGGTTAATTAACAATCTGAGACTTACCACAGGGTGGACAGCAGCTATTAATAGGCGTATTCGTTGACAACTCAAATCCCACATCACATTTCTTCTTAAGACACAGCTCGAAATCACACACTGAATGGGTTGAGATGAAATAGTGAGTCATTTAGTCATGTTGTTTTAATTTGCTATTCAGAATGACTTAAAAACAATTTTAATTTGGACTAACCACAAGTTGGACAGCAGTTTTCAGTTGTTGTTTTGTATTCTTTGCCACAGGGTTCAATGGTGGGACACATAATCTTTTCTTTCGTAATACCAAAGGTGTCACTGGAGCAGCTGTATCTGGTACAGTTGAAGGTCCATGTATCCCCGGGCTACGAAAGATGATCATTAGTGACAGTTAGTTAATGCTAGTTAGTTAATGTAACTACTGTAGTTAATGCAATCCACTACAGAGACATACCAGTCTAGGTAACCCATCAGGGCCCATGCAATCTACAAGGAGGGATTAATACAAAATTAACAAAAGTATGGCATAAAGAAAGAGCCTTCATCTATGAACACAGACAGTAAATGAAGTAACTTTTCTTACCGCAGTTTGGTGTACATTTATCTGTCGTAGAACTAACTCGATATGTGTTGTCAGGACAGAAACAACCTTCCATGAGTGTGTTTTCACAATCTTTGCCTTGGCAATCTTTCTCCACAAACTTATCATTGTATCTGGTATTTAAAATATAATAAAAGACAGTTACATACTGTACTATTTGGAGCATTTAGTATTACATTTACTCTACACAAAAGATGATGTTATGTCACGACTAGAGATTAGACCATTACCTTGTACTGCAAGTTTTTTCTATTTTAGGCCCACATGCCTTGTAGACTTTGTTACTTGGGCACTTGTACTCTGTTATGGAAACCAACAATTGATAAATTCAGAATCCTCTTATAAGTGGAATTGTGTTAGGTATGTTTACTATATCAACATAATGAATTGTTCAGTTGAAGAGTATTTAAAGGGATACTCCACCCAAAAATCATTTACTCACCCTCAAGTTGTTGCAAACCTGTATGAGTTTCCACAAAAGAAGATATTTTGAAGAACGACTGGAACTCTGGCACCATTGACTTCCATAGTATTTGTTTTTCTACTATGGAAGTCAATGGTGCCAAACAACTGTTTGGTTCTAATTGTTGAAACTATCTTCCTTTGTGTTCAGTAGAAGAAAGAAACTCATACAGGTCTGCCTCAACTTGAGGGTGAGTTAATGATGACAGAATGTGGAGAATTAAAATGAAAAAAAAATGCCTTTAAAATACTGAAAAAATATATACTCTGCTATAAAGTACTGCAATGGTGGGTTAATTTAGCTGTTTTACCGCATAGCCCTTTGAGGTCGGCTGAGTTTCTCCAGTCCACACAAACAGACTGCAGGCCACATTCCTGTGCATAGGTCTCCAGGCTGATACACGCAACAGACTCATTTTTAAGGGAACACACATCAAATTTGCATGCCTCATAATAGCTTTTAAATGGAACAATCCCATGGCATTGTTCAAATAATCTGTGAAGAAAATACAAAATGATGACTTTTTAATATTAGCAACCCAAAAAAAAAAATTCAGGATTAAAAATAAAATACTTAAATGGACAAATTTTAACGCACAGTGGTCCTTTAGGGAAATTCATCACGTCATTTTTTTTAAGAACCCAAATAATGAAGCTGAATGGGAATTGGTGATGTCAAGCTCCCAAAAGAGATCTAAAACCATGTTTTTAGGCACCATAATTGAATGGACCTGAAGCTAAACACAACCACAACGCATCTTTAAAGTGTCAGCAGATATTGTGCCAACTAGACTCTCCCCTGTGAACGCCTCATCGACACGACATCCCGCCTCCATACCAGTGTAATGACTCCGATCTTAAACCTGATGTAACTGTATAATATTCTGATTGTTCAAATCAAGTCTGACTTCTGACCAATAATGCTGCCTGAATCATAATCAAACACTGATCGTTCGTTCGCCAGAGGAGAACTGGCCCCCGACTGAGCCTGGTTTCTCCCAAGGTTTTTTTCTCCAACCTGCCACCTGATGGAGTTTTGGTTCCTTGCCACTGTTGCCTTTTTCCACCTTTGTTGCCATTGCCTTGGCTTGCTTAGTTGGGGACATTAAATGGAACATTTAATTTAATATTCAACAATAACATCTGCCTGCTTTGACACCATTATATGAGAACTGAAATGGAAATAGACATCTAGGTTCCCTTTCGAAGGGAACTCAACAATACGTCGAATGACGCTATGGGGAACGCCTCAGGCGTGACAGGTGTCTGAAATCAAATATCAACTCACAGTAATCAGGTTGACCGGCGACAGCCCGTGCATCATCAGCTTGAATGATGAGCGCGTCAATCTGGATGTATAAGAAGGGCGCCTTGAAACCGTGACAACATCTTTTCGTCTTCAGGGACTGTTTGTCTGTGTGATAGTATCAACGATTAAGCGCGCAGAGACGTGGAGAAACACTTTGCGCGAGTGTGCCGACTTGTGTCCAGATATTTGACACCGGAGGATTCACACGATCTGTGCGTGTTCTGCCTGAAAGAAGAGCATGTGCGGGAAGCTCTCGAGGGAGTTTTTTGCGCGAACTGAGAGTTTTCCTTTCAGAACTCTCTGCTCTCGTCTGACCCACTTCTCGAGGGAAGTGGGCGCGGCATCTGAACCCCGCGGTTCCGGTTCCCGCTCGGGCTGAGGCTCAGTGGCGGTTGAGCTCGTGGAGCTTTCAGATGGAGCTGGCAGATTATCGGGAGAGGGGCGTTAACCTCGCGGATGATCTACCAGCTGACGAGGGTGAGTTACAGATTAATGTTGAACATCTAAGAAGAGAGAAAATGAGCGCTCTCTCTCTTTGGTGAATCTGTAACTGTTCTCTTTGGGCAGGGCAGGAGTTGGCTGTAATATATATATATATATATATATATATATATATATATAGAAAAGGATGTCAGTTTGGTTGAGACCGAATCATTTCAGCCCTCCTGCCCAGTGTACGCTGAGCTGGTTGACATTATGGGGCGCGCCTCAGACAGATTGCTGTTGCAGTGGAGGCGCGTCTGGGAGGAACCCGCTCATGGTATTTTGGATGGCTGGTTCCTCCCCACCCATAAGCCACCAGCCCGGATGAGCCTTCCATTCGTTTCCGATCTCCACGCTGGGATCGAGAGGGTATGGAAGAATCCGTTCTCCTCACGTCTCTATCTGCATCAGCGGGCTAGTTTCGCTGCTGTGGAGGGAGCCGTGGAGAACGGATAAGTGTCGAGGCCGCCAGTGGACGAGACGTTGGCTAACTATCTCGTCTCTGGTTGGTCCTCTTCACTAAGAGCTCTGACCCTGTCATCCAAGCTGCTCAAGACATCTTCATGCTTGAATGACAGAGCGTACACGGCAGCAGGTCAGGCAGGTGCGGTTCTGCACGCCCTTGTGGTCCTCAGGCCTACCAGACCGATCTGTTGCGGGACTCCGGGCCACCAAGCAATCTGCTGTTCTGTCAGTGCTATGGTGGCCACGGAGAGACATCTGTGGGAGCTCCCACATACTGTGGTTGCCAGGTTACAGGCCTCACCATGCCTTCCTGGTTATGAGCTCCCACTGATTGTGGTCACCGGGTTACAGGCCTCACCAGGCCTTCCTGGTTATGAGCTCCCACATGCTGTGGTCGCTGGGTTACAGGCTTCACCAGGCCTTCCTGGTTATGAGCTCCCACACATTGTGGTCACCAGGTTACAGGCCTCACCAGGCCTTCCTGGTTATGAGCTCCCACACATTGTGGTCGCCAGGTTACAGGCCTCACCAGGCCTTCCTGGTTATGAGCTCCCACATACTGTGGTCGCCAGGTTACAGGCCTCACCAGGCCTTCCTGGTTATGAGCTCCCACATACTGTGGTCGCCAGGTTACAGGCCTCACTAGGCCTTCCTGGTTATGAGCTCCCACACATTGTGGTCGCTACGTTACAGGCCTCAAAGGGGCCTTCCTGGTTATAGTTCCCACATACTGTGGTTGCCGGGTTACAGGCCTCACCAGGCCTTCCTGGTTATGAGCTCCCACTCATTGTGGTCGCCAGGTTACAGGCCTCACCAGGCCTTCCTGGTTATGAGCTCCCACATGCTGTGGTCGCTGGGTTACAGGCTTCACCAGGCCTTCCTGGTTATGAGCTCCCACATACTGTGGTCACTAGGATACGAGCTCTCACATACTATGGTCGCCAGGTTATAGGCCTCACCAGGCCTTCCTGGTTATGAGCTCCCACACATTGTGGTCGCCAGGTTACAGGCCTCACCAGGCCTTCCTGGTTATGAGCTCCCACATACTGTGGTTGCCAGGTTATAGGCCTCACCAGGCCTTCCTGGTGATGAGCTCCCACACATTGTGGTTGCTAGGTTACAGGCCTCAAAGGGGCCTTCCTGGTTATGAGTTCCCACATACTGTGGTAGTCAGTTTACAGGCCTCACCCAGCCTTCCTGAATGTGGGCTCCCACATGATGCGGTAGCCAGACTACAGCCTCACCACCTTCCCTGAGCACTTTGCTCCCACTCTGTGGTCACCAGGCTTCAGGCTGCATTGGCCTTCCTGGTTGTGAGTTGTCACATGTCAGGTTGCAGGCTTCACCAGGCCTTCCTGAATGTGAAACCCCCACTTTTCGTGGTCGCTAAGTTGTAGTGGTGAGTCTTCACATGTCAGGCTGCAGGCCTCAGCGGCCTTCCTGAATGTGAGCTCCCCATGCATTGGGACTATCGGGTGTTAGGCCTTGTCAGGCCTTCCTGATTATGGGTTCCACTTGTTGTGGCTGCCAGGTTACAGGCCTCAAGTTCGGCCTTTCTGAATTCAGAGTGAAGTACACTAACTCCTACTTCACCTATTATTGTGGTAAATCACATGACGGGATGTCTTGTGTACTTTCTAAAATCCATTTTGTATGGTAAGGGTCACGCGTGGTATGCTTCGGTCCCTTCTTATGTGGCTCAGACCCTGGTCTTCCCTTGGGTCCCACTTTAAGTGGCGTCTTGTCACTGGCTACAGGGACGCCCTTCTCTGGCTAACTTCTGGAAGAAGTAGCTTCCACTTGGTGGAGTAAGCTCCCACAGGTTGTGGTCACCAGGCTGGGTCTCACTGACCTTCCTGAGTACGAGCTCCCACCCAATGTGGTCGCCAGGTTACAGGCCTTACCAGGCCTTCCTGGTCATGAGCTCCCACACACTGTGGTCGCCAGGTTACAGGCCTCAACAGGCCTTCCTGGTTATGAGCTCCCACATATTGTGGTTGCTGGGTTACAGGCCTCACCAGGCCTTCCCGAATTCAAAGTGAAGTACACAAACCCATACTTCACCTATTATTGTGGTAAGTCACCCGACGAGATGTCTTGTGCACTTTTCAAAATCCATTTCTTATGGTGAGGGTCACGCGCAGTATGCTTCGGTCCCTTCTTATGTGGTTCAGACTCCGGTTCTTCACTTTGGGTCCCACTCTAGATGTGTCTTTGTCGCAATACATTACGACAGGCACTTCCCTTGTTCGAGCTATCTCCCACAACTGGTGGTTTTAGGTCTCATTAGACCTTTTTCGAAGGTAGCCCCACATTGTGGGTCTGTCAGGTTCTAGCCTCTGGCTTTCCTGAAGGATGAGCTTCCACATGCTGTGGTCGTTGGGTTTCAGGCCGCACAACGTACTACGCCTTCCTGACATGAGCCCTCATGTATCGGAGCTCCCCACACATGGGGTCATCAGGTCTTAGGTCTCTTTGACCTTCCTGATTTTGATCCCTCTCTTACTTCCTCAGTGCTCAAAAGCGAGCACTGGGTGGAAACTCGTGGATTGAGTGTACGATTCCCATTGGTTCGAGGTTGAGTCACACTCTCCGGAGGATCCCGTCTCTGTGATCCGAAACTCGATGGTTTCCGCCAGCTTCGCGGGCCTTCAGTTTTTGGATGCCTTTTCTAGGCAATTTCCAGAGGCTCTGTCTTGGACGGACAGGCTATGGCCAGACTGTGTGTCTTAGTACAGATCACCAGGCCAGCCTGGGGGCATTTCAGGAGGAGTGTTCTCCTGAATAGTGACTGGCTGGGGGTCCCTTTGGCCCCCTAGCCACACTCCCTAGAAGGGACCCCTTCTATTTTGAAGTTGTGGTCCTAAAGCCTTTGAGCTGGCCCTGATTTACTCACGTTATTGCGTTCTGGTTTTTCTTGGTTCATTAGCTTGGGCTATGACCGGTAGGGAGTGCTGTCACTGACAGCCCGATGTAACATAGGGTGAGTGGTTTCAGTGTTCCTTGGAATTACTGGTTCAGACAGTTGTCACTGCCTTTCGGCATGCACTCCCCTCAGCATGGCGGAGTGGGTATTTCGTTCCCCACAGCGTCATTCGACGTATTGTTGAGTTCCCTTCGAAAGGGAACGTCTCAGGTTACGACTATAACCTATGTTCCCTGAGAACAGGGAACGAGACAATACGTCTCGTTGCCATGCCTCGGGGCCTGCCTGCAACAGTCCCTTCAGACGATAGGATGTTGTCACGGTTTCAAGGCGCCCTTCTTATACATCCAGATTGACGCGCTCATCATTCAAGCTGATGATGCACGGGCTGTCGCCGGTCAACCTGATTACTGTGAGTTGATATTTGATTTCAGACACCTGTCACGCCTGAGGCGTTCCCCATAGCGTCATTCGACGTATTGTCTCGTTCCCTGTTCTCAGGGAACATAGGTTACAGTCGTAACCTGAGACGTTTTCTCCAGAGCGCCAGGAATGGTCAACAAGCAAAATGTCTTGATAAACAGCTAAATGTGGCCAAAATTATTTATCATAGTAGGTAGCGTGATTATATAGAAGCATGCGTATGCCTGCATAAGCAGCTTGCCAAGTGTTGGAATAGAGCTATTATGCAGTTACAATTATATTTCGAAAGATTAAAGTTTTGGCTTTGCCGTACTTTCCCTTGATGAGTTCACAGGCTTTGGTCATTTCCGATGGACACTTTGGTATATTTATAGTTGAATTAGGAGCATTGCATCCTGGGGGTACCATCCACAACTGTGCCATGTGTTCACAAGATGTGTCAACTGTTCCGTTAGGTAGCCTGCAGTCATTTGCTGTGCTATTGTCACAAACCCCTTAAAAAAAACAAGAAAAATTTTAATTGATCATGATCTTTGTACAAGTTGAACAACAAATGCATTTATCCCTGTCATTTTACAAGTGTCAAGTCTTCGTATTTAGCAAGAAACCTGTTACGTAGCAGGCTCCCGCACCGCCTCCTCTTAGCCAGCAGAGGGAGCCATCACCAGAGTACTAACTCGCCTTAGGACTTCACTTACCATAATGCACCACCCCTGGGACTGATTACACACACACCTGAACCTCATCAGACTTCCTATTTAAGCCACACTCAAACATTGATTCAGTGCGAAGTATTGCATTGCCACGGCTGTAATGACTGAGCGGTTTTCACTGATCTGCCTGTCTTGTGTACCGACCTTGGATTGTTCTACCACCCTCGTTAGCCTGCTGCCTGCCCTGATTCGGATTGTTTTGGATTACTGTTGTCTGCTGCCTGTCCTGATCTTCTGCCTGTTATCTGACCAATTTCTGTGCCTGTCCTGTGTTAACCCTGCTCTGCCGATCTCTGACCCTTGCCTGTTTGACCTGTCTTTAATAAAGCTGCAAATGGATTCCAATCTGTCTCGAGCTTCGTTACAGAATACTTCGCCGACTACGAATCCAGCAGCAGTATTACAATTTTCCTCCGAACTCACGTCTCAAGCATCTCGCCTGGATCTCCACCACCAGCAACTCAGCCACGTGACGACACTCACGGAAAAGCTTGTTCAAGGGTTGAATGAATTACGAACTGCCATTTTTAATCCGCCTGTTACACTTGCTAATCCTCCTGTGGAAAACCCCCCAGTGAATCCCACTACTTCCGTAGCCCCGCGAAAAATTCGACGGTAACCCGACTAAATGCAAAGGATTCCTTCTCCAGTGTACGCTCTTTGTGGAACAACAACCATCGCTGTATTGTACGGATGCTAGTCGGATCGCACACTCGCGGCACAAACCAACTGGGTTGAGAGCACATTGAAGACTCTATTTCGCAAGGGTCTCACCGTAGAGCTGCAATCTGAACTCGCCTGCCGTGATGAAGGTAACTCATTGTCTGAGTATATTGATCTGGCCATTCAAGTAGACTCTCTAATTCGTTCCCGCCGATCGGTCCGGTTCAGCCAACGCCCCCAACCTGAAACCTCCGCTGAACTTGAGCCTATGCAGGTCGGATTTTCTCATCTCTCTCCTGAGGAGAGAGAACGCCGCAGACAGCAGAGACTCTGCATGTACTGTGGTCAGCCAGGACACCTGAAATTCGCCTGTCCGGTTCGTCCATCAACTGCCCCTCGCTCGGTGAGTTCATGCACAGAAACCCCATCAAAACCCTCTAACTTTAAATTGCCAGTGGTAATCACTATTAGAGGAGAACAGTTCAGAACTACGGCTCTCATAGACTCTGGAGCCGCGGGAAATTTTATATCTCATACTTTTGCTGACCATTGCAAGCTTAAGCTAATCCCTTGTCTTTCCTCCTTAGCAGTGGAGGCACTAGATGGTCGACCCCTAGGGGAAGGAAGAATTCAGAGTATGACTGAAGAGATTGAACTTCATGTAAGCTCCCTGCATACTGAACTGATCAATTTTTATGTGATTCAATCACCCCATCACCCCATTGTCTTTGGTTTTCCTTGGTTACGAGCTCATGATCCCCAAATTTCTTGGACAGAGGGGCAAATTATACAATGGAACTCATCATGTCACGACCACTGCCTGACTCCCGTAATCCGTGCCCTTCTTCATGCAGCAGAAAACGAGTCTCGAAATGCCAATAAAATTAATCCACCCCGAGAGAATCAAAGCCCTTTGTCCAAAACTGATCCAGAGACAATATCTCACGAGGAAACAGAAATTCCTGTTGTTTATGCTGATCTCCTGGAGGCATTTAGTAAAAAGAAAGCTTCCCAGCTTCCCGAACATCGCTCCACTGACTGTGCCATTGACCTCCTCCCGGGTACCTCACCACCCCGTGGCCGAGTGTTCCCTTTATCTCAACCCGAATCAGAAGCCATGAAAACTTATATTCAAGAAGAACTCGCCAAGGGATTCATTCGACCCTCAACTTCCCCCGCTACTGCTGGATTCTTCTTTGTAAAGAAAAAGGACGGAAGTTTACGACCCTGCATTGACTACCGGGATCTGAATGACATTACAGTGAAATTCCGTTATCCTCTTCCTCTACTACCAGCAGCTCTGGAACAACTTCGACAGGCTAAATTTTTCACTAAGCTGGATTTACGCAATGCTTATAATTTGATTCGTATCCGAGAGGGGGATGAGTGGAAAACTGCATTTTCCACCACTAGTGGGCACTACGAATATCTTGTCATGCCTTTCGGTTTGTCCAACAGTCCGTCTGTGTTTCAATCCTTCATGAATGATATCTTTCGAGACATGGTGGACAAGTGGGTGATAGTTTACATTGACGATATTCTGATCTACTCGAATTCCATGGAAGAACATGTTCAACAGGTCAGGTTAGTCCTTGAACGACTCATTCAACATCAGCTCTTCGCCAAAGCTGAGAAATGTGAATTTCATCAGACGAGCACATCGTTCTTGGGTTACATTATCAGCCAGGAGGGGGTCGCCATGGACGAAAAGAAGGTAAAGGGGCTTCTGGAATAGCCGTTACCTCAGACTCTGAAGGAACTACAGCGGTTTTTAGGATTTGCCAACTTCTACAGAAGATTCATTCGCAACTTCAGTATCATTGCTGCTCCTCTCACGGCTATGACCAAACGCCAATCGTCCAAACTAAAATGGTCCAATGAGGCGGAACAGGCTTTCGAGGAACTCAAGTTTTGATTCACTTCTGCACCCATTCTCCATCATCCGGATCCCGAAAGACAATTAATTGTGGAGGTTGACGCTTCAAGCACTGGTGTGGGGGCTGTGCTATCTCAACAAAAAGGTAATCCTGAAAAGATGTATCCATGCGTTTTTTTTCCCAGCAAACTTTCACCGGCAGAGCAGAACTATGATGTGGGGAATAGAGAATTACTGGCAATGAAGCTAGCATTAGAGGAGTGGCGACATTGGCTGGAAGGAGCTAGTCAACCCTTTATCATTTTCACCGATCACAAGAACTTAGAATATCTACGATCTGCTAAACGTCTCAATCGTCAACAGGCAAGATGGGCTTTATTTTTCACCCGTTTCCAGTTCACCGTCACATATCGCCCAGGGTCCAAAAATGTCAAAGCAGATGCACTCTCACGTCAAGCTGAAGGTACCATTCAAAATTCCACTCCAGAAAACATTATCCAGTCCAGTCTACTGGTGGCTCCCGTCCAATGGGATATTATCACAGAAATCCAACAGGCTAACAATCACACGCAGACCCCATCGGCATGTCCAGACAATCGACTGTTTGTCCGGGAAGCATTCAGAGCTAGACTCATCAATCACGTTCATTCAACTCCCAGCTCTGGGCATCCAGGTATTACTGCAACTACAGAACCGCTTTTGGTGGCCCACATTATCGCTTGATACCACCAAACAAGTGAAGAGTTGTGTCAATTGTAACATGTCCAAAACACCCAGACAGCTACTGGCAGGCCTATTAACACCACTCCCCACACCCCAACGACCCTGGTCTCATATTGCAATCGATTTCATCACCGATCTACCCAAATCTCAGGGGCACACCACCATTCTTACCATAGTGGACAGATTCTCCAAAGCATGCCGACTCATACCCCTACCCAAACTCCCTACTGCTTTAGAAACAGCCGAAATTCTTTGCAACCAAGTGTTCCGTTTTCTGAAGACATTGTTTCTGATCGAGGCCCTCAGTTTACTTCTAGAGTCTGGACTGCATTCTTTAAAAGTTTAAACGTCAACATTAGTTTAACCTCAGGATACCACCCTCAATCAAATGGACAGACTGAACGCCTGAATCAAGATGTCAAATGTTTTCTAAGAGCTTATTGTCAAAAGGAACAAACCGAGTGGAGCAGATATTTATTTTGGGCAGAATACGCACAAAATTCTTTGGTCAAACCAGCTACAGGTGTAACTCCTTTTAAGTGTATACTCGGCTTTCAACCTCCCCTGTTTCCTTGGTCCGGAGAACCGACAGAATTACCTTCTGTGACCGAATGGCTACGCAAGAGTGAAATGATCTGGGATCAGGCCCATACACATCTCCTTCATGCTGTCCGAAGACAAGAACTACAGGCCAATCGTCATCGGCGCCCTGGCCCGCAGTACAGCGCTGGTCAATGGGTGTGGCTTTCCACTAGAGATCTGAGACTTCGACTTCCCTGCCGTAAACTCAGTCCCAGGTATGTTGGTCCATTTCAAATACTGAAACAAGTTACCCCTGTGTCTTTTCGCCTGGATTTACCTGCTGATTACCGTATTTCTCCTACATTTCATGTATCCCTATTGAAACCTGCTGTGGGCCCGAGGGGAGTGTCGGAAGCGGGAGCCACAGCCCCAGATCCTGCACCGCTCCTGATTAACGGCGAGGAGGCGTACCGAGTGCATGAAGTGCTGGACTCCAGACGCCGGGGTAACGTTCTCCATTATCTGGTGGACTGGGAGGGGTACGGTCCGGAGGAACAATCTTGGGTCAACGCCAGTGAGGAGTTTCACCGCAACTACCCGGAGAAACCGGCCCCTAGACCCCGTGGAAGACCCCGGCGTCGTCAACCTTCTCGCCTCAGGAGCTGCTAGCAGGAGGGGGGCTCTGTTACGGAGCAGGCTCCCGCACCGCCTCCTCTTAGCCAGCAGAGGGAGCCATCGCCAGAGTACTAACTCGTATTAGGACTTCACTTACCATAATGAACCTCAGACTTCCTACTTAAGCCACACTCAAACATTGATTCAGTGCGAAGTATTGCATTGCCACGGCTGTAATGACTGAGCGGTTTTCCCTGATCTGCCTGTCTTGTGTACCGACCTTGGATTGTTCTACCACCCTCGTTAGCCTGCTGCCTGCCCTGATTCGGATTGTTTTGGATTACTGTTGTCTGCTGCCTGTCCTGATCTTCTGCCTGTTATCTGACCAATCTCTGTGCCTGTCCTGTGTTAACCCTGCTCAGCCGATCTCTGACCCTTGCCTGTTTGACCTGTCTTTAATAAAGCTGCAAATGGATTCCAATCTGTCTCGAGCTTCGTTACAAAACCTGGGTGTGCTGTGCTCTCTGATTCCAATCTATCATTTGAAAGCCATGTTTCTAGCATCTGTAATACCCCATTCTCACATCTTAAAAATCTAAATTTTGACATAACCGTCATGCACTCAACACTCAAACAATTTAGCCTTTTTTTAAAGATTTACACATTTCAATTAATAGTAATATTCCATTGAACTGAATAATACTTGCACATTTCAGTTGATTACAGATTGTTCTATTAAAGTATGTACAGTAAGGAATATTCAGATCAATTTGATGGAATATTACTTTTAATTAAAATACATAAAAAAAGGCATATTTTTTTTGTTGAGTGAATGACAAATGCGTTCATGAACTCAAGGCTAGATTATTGTAATGCTCTATTGGGTGGTTGCCCTCCACACTACAAAATTCTGGGCAGTTGATAATACCTAGAATATCAACTGCAGGTGCTATTTCATTTTTAAGCCCTTAACTTTGGAACAGTCTTCCTAGCATTGTTCAAGAAGCATACTTGTCAGTTTAAATCTAGACTAAAAACACATCTTTTAACCTGGCATACACATCACAAATGATCTTTTTTAGTTAAATGATTGTTAGGCTGCATAGATTAGGGCAGCCGGAACTAGGAACACTACTATAACAATTGATGTACTTGTTACATCATAAGAAGAATGATACTGTATATACACTATTAGTCTGTCTAACTCATTCGTATCCCACTATATAAAAGGTGACTTGACTTAAGATCTGTACTCACCACAATGTCCCTCAGTATTACCATGGAAGTACGAGAATGGGAGTTTGACAGAGACAGCAAGATTACCAACTAAAATCTCAACTTTAATATCAGACACATTCAAAAGCACTGCAAAGTCAGTAGTGCTGATGATTATATCTCCCAGCTGGAAGGTTGGCTTTATCATTGAATCATTAACATAGACCTGTGGAAAACAAAAGGCATTTTGGAGTTATGATGAAAATCATGTTCTAGAATATTATGTTATTTTGCCATGAACAACTTGACAGCACTGGTTCTGGTGGATTGCATTCCATTAAATGAATTTTAAAGTCTGTTTTGACAGTTGTGGACAGGAGAGAAAAACAATGCTAAATAGTTCAAATGACCAAAGAAGGAAGTGAAAGTAAATCTGCATTGTAAAAAAAAATAAAAAATCTTAACTGAAAAATAACTGTTTTCCTCCAAACCGTTGACCACAATTATTGGTACTGCTTACAAATCTAGACGCACCCTAGCGGCAGCAAAAATTATTTCACAGCCAGTGGTCTAGCAACTCTCCATAGACGTTTTAGTTGAAAAAAAAAAAAAAACTCTGGTCAGGCCAATCACATCGTGTATAGAGCTGGTAAATCCCGCCCATCCGTAAAACTCCAAGTGGACCTCTAGTTTGAAAAAGCGTCAATGCAAGTGAATGAGATAAAATAATCTCGTTTCTCGATCCCGTTTGAATTGTGCCATGAATGTGAAGATATGTTTTCTGTGAATTTTTTATATAATCGCAGGATCCGTGTGCAAGTGGTGGTGTGGTGACGTATATCAAACGCGTCGAAAGCAGGAAGAGTTGTAGTCCACAAAGTGCTCTCACACAAAGTCCAACCATATGAAAATTCGACCCGCTAAATTGTAGCATTCTTTACATGAAAAATTATATAAAAAATTCACAGACAACATATGATCACATTCATTGCAAAATGAGGTCCAGCAGGGTTAGCGGAAGGGGCGGGACTTACCAGCCCTATCGAGTCGGCGGGCAGGCTTAACATAATGACGACAGAGTTGTTCACTGCTACTTGAAAACAAAGAATGGCTGCTGCTGGCGAACAGCTGTCTTTCCATTCGGCTTTGACCGCTACTCTGTGTGGATGATTTGAACTTAAACTTCTCTTTGAAAACAGGACAAAGAACGGCACTTGAGTCATTAAAAAAAAAAAAAGTTGTGTTCAGAGTTTTGATGACTGGATACGGTAGAAGTGTAATAGGGAGCCTAAGTCCCGCCCCTCTGCTTCCGGCTCATGGGACCTTATTTCGGAAAAAATATGTGTGGTAGTCAATGGCGAGAGACAACTTATCTTTTTATTCCGTCTGAACTGTGCCCTGAATTACACATATGATGTTTGTCAGTTTAAATTCTGAAAGTCAAAAACGTCGCCGTTTGTCATAAAACAGAAGACTTTTAGTTTTATGTGAAATTCGCTCAATGAACTGCATCTCCCGGGAAGCGAAACAACGAGCAAGATCCGGTGCTCATGTGTGTGCAGTCTGGTACAAAACACTCAGGCATGACGGCATAACGTTGCAATTATAACGTAAGACTATAGAAACAATGACAGACATTAGCCTCAGTAAAGTTAGCTTCATTCATTGAGAGAAAATGTGCATATTTGGGGTTTGTAGTCTTTGTAATTACGTATTTTCACAGTCTTATATCTCAGCGGTTTTACATCAAACTGCGACTTTCTTTACTTTAAAATGTATCTTTTAAATTGACAAACATCATATGTGTAATTCAGGGCACAATTCAAACGAGATCAAAATATTTGTTGTCTTTCGCCATTGACTACCATACAATATTTTTCCGAAATAAGCTCCCATGGTGGTCGACCGGAAGGGGAGGGACTTAGGCTCTCTATATATCAACTTGATCTGCTGGTGGAAAAACGCAATCTTCGTTGCTCTGATTGGTTGTAGTGCTATCCAATTGCGTGCAGAGAGAATCTGAAAGACAACCGTTTTTCCCGCCCATCGGATTGAGCCCTGTCAATGACGAGTTCCCAGACCTAACAACTTGATGCAGGTCTGGCATGCCAGGCTAGGTACCACTATTAATGTGAGTAAAATATCTTTGAAGTATATTCCCATTCATATTTACATTTTTAGCACATCAGGGTGGGAACATGAAATTATCCAGCCATGACGTCTTGTTTCACAGGATATGAGGAAACACAAGGGCCAAATTCTCTTAATCATCTATCAGTTCTGGTGTGCAGTAAAATATTGTTGAGCTTTCACAAAGTATTAAGTGGCTGTAAGAAAATAGAATTGAAAATGCCCAGTTCCATCATCAGGGCAATAATTACGAATTTCCAATCAACAGAAAATATTATGAATTTGCCTGGACAAGGACGTGTCTATATTGTCTTAATGCAAGGCAAGGAGGATAGTTCAAGTGGCCAAAGACTGATCACAGCTGGATAATTCCAAAAACTAAAAAATTATGAGCTTTTTGGCAGCAAACACAGCCATGTGTTAAATTAAATATACTGGAGTCTTTTTTGCTGGATACACAGTTACACTTGTTACACTTGATACTTGGCATCACAGGTTCTATCAAATACCAACAGAACCAAAAAACAAAAAACCTTATACGCCTTATTCACGGCAGCGCCATCTTTGATTTTCAATGAGAATGAAAGCGAGGCTGTGAGGGATAAACATGCATATTCAATGGGCTGTACTGTTATTTGAATTGTTCTGCTCATGAAACACTGGAAAAAAATCTATCCAAGAAATTTCAGTTGACAAAAAACTCCCTACAATGTAAGCTGTGGAAAATTGTAAGTAATCTAGCCGCTTTATTCAGCTTTTTACAGCGGATGCCATTGGAAACACGGTAAGTCTATCCCTCACAGCCTCACTTTCATACCTGTCATGGCGCTGCTCTGAATAAGGTCTATTGCCTCTGCTAGAAATTTTATATTGGGCCCAAGTGGAGGAAGATCAACTAATCAGGGACTAATGAGAACAGGTGCAGACATGACATACTCGCAACAAAACCAAACCGTATGAGAAAAGAGGAGAGAGCATCCACGTGGACTTGGGAAAATGAAGGATCTGAAAATATTTGGGATGGAGGAATGGTCTCTGACCTCTTGTCAGGTGTTCTCCAACCTCATCAGGCATTGTAGGAGAAGATTTTTTTAAGCACTCATGCCACTCACCTGAACTTTAGTAGTGTTGCTTGTCAGCTTGATTTGATGGGATTTGTAATTTACAATGACATACTCAGGGCAGGCAAGATTTTTTTTTACATCACAATAAAAGTTTTTAACGTGGACACTGATATTGTATCTTGGGATGATTTCTTGAAACAAAACATATGTGCAGTTTCCTTGGAAAGTATAATAATATCCATCAAAGGTTTTATAATGAGGGTCACCCCAGCTGTTGCATTTGCCTGTTGTTTGACAAAAAACAAAACAAAAAACATTTTAAAATTAAATATCATGCACTGGCAAAGACAATATTAATATTTTTCTTTGTTTTTATATTACTATTAGGAATAATAATATTCCAATTTTTCTGAGCATAGATTAAACTCACATAAACACTCATACTTGCAGCAGGAGCCATTGTTATAATACACTTTCTCAGGTGGAAATCCATTGACACAGTACATTTTGGTTTCATCTACTGGTTCACACTGTATAGGGATTGAATTGCACAGTTAAAAGAGTACATAAATAACTTGACAACTGATATGGGTGGTTAATTATTTTTGAAAAGCTAGCATGTCCTGGAGTGTGATACTGTACTTAATCTAAAACTATTTTAAACATAATTATGCAAATTCTTTATTATTATTAAATCACTTTTAAACGTCTCTTGCACAACGTTTTAAACGACACTTGTAATTATTTTTTCTTGATTCGCTTCTATCTATTTTGTTCTTAAATGTGCAAAATATGGTATTGTTATTTTGTGATTCTCGTGAGTGAAACTTTATGTGCTGCCGTCTTGACCAGGTTTCTCTGGTAGAAGAGATAGCAATAGATTGCCGAAGTTACAACGTCACTTTGTAGGCCAAAACGCTCCGTGAGTTAGCATTTAGCACTCCCGGTTCCCTTGCTCTAAAGTCTATGGGATTTTTGAATGGGTTTTTGCTAAATCACCTAAAATAAGGTCAGTGGTGAACAAAGCCTCTAAATATTTTCACGTTTTAATCTATGACATAAAACACACAGTTATAACCTGCTTGTGGTTTTTTAAACTTTTAAAAACTATTATTTTAAGGCATAGCCTATGCACTGAAGGGGCTTGCTGAAAACAGAGCTGATTTTGACCAGGTAAAATGGTGTTTTCTTAAAATACTAATGAGAATTTTTAATAAAAGTATATTACAAAGTTTTCATTTAGACCCTAAACATTCATATTAACTTGGCATACAAAAATGGCATTATATGACCCCTTTAAAAGACTGATATTGTTTCAAACCCCCACGTGATCTTTCAGTTCGTCTGTCTGTTAAACCTAAATCCAGAGTGAGTTGTCATGAAACAACTTCACAAACAGTCTTTTCAACCTCATAGAGTATCATTTGATTTTGTGATGCAATAGTTTAAATTATCACAGTACTGGGATAACAGTTTATAGTTCAGATATAAACAATGATGTCTATGGTAGTGATCAAATCAGCTTTTGATAAAAACTTGGTGCTAAAAACAATGCATTTTTAAATGCATTAAAATTATTTGTTATCGAATCATTTATTCCAAGAGAATGTAGTATTATATTTGCACTTTTCCACAACATGGTATGACACGATTCGGTACTGCACGCTTTGGCGCTTTTCCACTGCATGGTACGTTACAGCTCGTGTTGTACTGTGGAAACGCAAAGCGAGCCGAACCGTGCCACGCCGAACCGTACTGAGCCGTACTAGCTGTGGAAAAAGGGCCATATGATGCTTCTGAAATACATTCAGAAATATGTAATGAAATGTTTTTGTAAATGTGACTCATCTCATACATCATGTACAGTCTGTACCCCTTTCACACAGCGCGTTGATCCTGTAATTTGCCGTTGATCCTTTAATTGCCGTAAAATTGCTAGAGTGCCTTCCGTGTGAACGCAAACACGTCCCGGGATTAATGCCGGTATCGATGCCAGGATGGGCACCTAGTAACATTATCGGGATCAGACCAATGCCTTAAGCGGTGTGACGCACCTGCCATCGCACAGGCCTTTCTATAACCTATGCTTGAGCTTATGGGGAACGACCCAGTGGTGCTACTGGGGAGTATGGACTCATCTTCATGTAGAAATGATGAAGAAGAGTTATGAGCAGAACTGACATCTTACAGGACTCATCACATCCTGACGTCACATGTCTTTTATGGGATATTTACGGCATGTGTGTGAATGGATGCACTCACAGATTCCAGAAAATCACTGGCAGTGTGAATGAACCAAAATCAAACGATCCCGGGAAAAATCCCAGGACACATTACATAGCTGCCAACTCTCACGCATTGGCCGTGAGACACCCGCATTTGATTGGTTTCACACGCTCACAAGCCACACCCACACCCCCGATTTCTCACGCTGAAGTGTCACTCTCTCGTTTTTTCCGGGTTTCTCACGTATTTTAGCTCTTTTACTGTCTTCCTGTTTTACTATATCCCGTAAAATATCCCGTATTTCTACACCCTGATTGTGTGAGACGTACAAGCTCGGACAGATTCGGCTTGAAGTCGATCAGTCTCGGATGCGGTGCAGCCCGCACTTTTACAAAAAAGCTTTGCACACAGCTCGAGGTCTTGCCGGTTTTGGGCACCCAACACGTCATTTTTACCGCGTTCATGCAGACGCGTCGAGTATAAACAAGGCTTTACTCCGTGTCGGCGCGCGCTCTGACCGGTAAAGGTGCAGAGACCTCTCCCAATCATCTCCAGCAGAAGCAGCCTCCCCGTTTCCCTCGTAAGATGATATTAGTATTTAAACATTCTCTATGGTATTTTTTTTTAATTACACAGTGCTCTTTCTCACACATATGTAGGCTAGTTATAAACTCTTTAGACTTTTAATGATTAGTGCTTTATTTTTAAAGTTTTTTTCGAAAAAAAAAACCCTCCTTATTTTGGGGATGGTTTCCAGGAAATCTCCCTTTGATGTTGACAGCTATGGGTCGGTCAAATGCCTGAAAGATGAGTTTATCTATTGATCTACCTGTTGCCACTTGTGATCCACTTGTTATACCGCAAATTAGTTACAAATCTCCCATGATGTATATCGAGCGACCACCACCAATTCCCCACCACCTCTTAAAAAAAAAACTAATGCATATTGTATCGGCACCCAAGTATTGTGATAGTATCGAATTGGGAGGTAGGTGTATCGTTCCAGCCCTTCTAAAAAACATTATTCATTTACATTATATAATATTCAGTCATTGTATTTTGCTGTGCTTAATAAGATCATTTAAATACATTTTTAATATCTTTAAAAACCTGTTCTCAGCTGTTAGAACACTGGCTTACTGGCCCCAATCAAAATAGACCACTCATTTTAGATCTTAAATGTGACTAAGAAGTCTCCATTCATTTAAGTCTATGACATTTTTTTCCTTCTGTTTCATCTACAACTAAGTTGTAATTCAATTTACTTCAATTTACTAAGAAATGGCACATCCTCATCCAATAGCACTCCTCAGAAAGGGCATAATTTTAGTTTCCATTCATGTCTGAAGCCAAAAAGGTGTGGAACAAGCCACACACTGAAATATAGTTAGGGATAGGGATTTGTTCAAATCCTCAGTATTGACAGTAGAAAGCACTAGGCCAACACACATTTGGTGCTTTCACCCAATAATAAATGAAGCGTGTTTCTTTTCTGATTAGTTTACCTCTGGGTTACATGGGGTAGTACTACTGCTGGTTGTGGAGTGTGAAGGAGACTTGGTTGAAGTAAAGCCAGGTGTAGTTTTGGATTCTGTCTTTATGGATGTTGTTGTTCCAGTAGTTGTCGTATTACTGGAAGTGGTCGTAGGTGTCTTTGCCGATGTTGGTGTTGCAGGAATTGATGAAGGTGATGTTTCTGTCTTTGTAGATGTTCTTGTTGTTATAGTAGTTGTTGTAGAGGTAGAAGTGGTTGTAGGTGTCACTGTTGATGTTGTTGAGGAAGGTGTTGATTCTGTCTCTGTAGTTGTTGTTTCAGTAGTTGTTGTAGGGGTGGAAGTGGTTGTAGGTGTCACTGTTGATGTTGAGGAAGGTGTCGATTCTGTCTCTGTAGATGTTGTTACAGTAGTTGTTGTAGGAGTGGAAGTGGTTGTAGGTGTCACTGTTGATGTTGTTGAGGAAGGTGTTGATTCGGTCTCTGTAGTTGTTGTTTCAGTAGTTGTTGTAGGGGTGGAAGTAGTTGTAGGTGTCTCTGTTGATGTTGTTGAGGAAGGTGTTGATTCTGTCTCTGTAGATGTTGTTTCAGTAGTTGTTGTAGGGGTGGAAGTGGTTGTAGGTGTCACTGTTGATGTTGTTGAGGAAGGTGTTGATTCTGTCTCTGTAGATGTTGTTTCAGTAGTTGTTGTAGGGGTGGAAGTAGTTGTAGGTGTCACTGTTGATGTTGAGGAAGGTGTTGATTCTGTCTCTGTAGATGTTGTTACAGTAGTTGTTGTAGGGGTGGAAGTAGTTGTAGGTGTCTCTGTTGATGTTGTTGAGGAAGGTGTTGATTCGGTCTCTGTAGTTGTTGTTTCAGTAGTTGTTGTAGGAGTGGAAGTGGTTGTAGGTGTCACTGTTGATGTTGAGGAAGGTGTTGATTCTGTCTCTGTAGATGTTGTTACAGTAGTTGTTGTAGGAGTGGAAGTGGTTGTAGGTGTCACTGTTGATGTTGTTGAGGAAGGTGTTGATTCGGTCTCTGTAGTTGTTGTTACAGTAGTTGTTGTAGGGGTGGAAGTGGTTGTAGGTGTCACTGTTGATGTTGTTGAGGAAGGTGTCGATTCTGTCTCTGTAGATGTTGTTACAGTAGTTGTTGTAGGGGTGGAAGTGGTTGTAGGTGTCACTGTTGATGTTGTTGAGGAAGGTGTCGATTCTGTCTCTGTAGTTGTTGTTACAGTAGTTGTTGTAGGAGTGGAAGTGGTTGTAGGTGTCACTGTTGATGTTGTTGAGGAAGGTGTTGATTCGGTCTCTGTAGTTGTTGTTACAGTAGTTGTTGTAGGAGTGGAAGTGGTTGTAGGTGTCACTGTTGATGTTGTTGAGGAAGGTGTTGATTCGGTCTCTGTAGTTGTTGTTACAGTAGTTGTTGTAGGAGTGGAAGTGGTTGTAGGTGTCACTGTTGATGTTGTTGAGGAAGGTGTTGATTCGGTCTCTGTAGTTGTTGTTACAGTAGTTGTTGTAGAGGTAGAAGTGGTTGTAGGTGTCACTGTTGATGTTGTTGAGGAAGGTGTTGATTCTGTCTCTGTAGTTGTTGTTTCAGTAGTTGTTGTAGGGGTGGAAGTGGTTGTAGGTGTCACTGTTGATGTTGAGGAAGGTGTCGATTCTGTCTCTGTAGATGTTGTTACAGTAGTTGTTGTAGGAGTGGAAGTGGTTGTAGGTGTCACTGTTGATGTTGTTGAGGAAGGTGTTGATTCGGTCTCTGTAGTTGTTGTTTCAGTAGTTGTTGTAGGAGTGGAAGTGGTTGTAGGTGTCACTGTTGATGTTGAGGAAGGTGTTGATTCTGTCTCTGTAGATGTTGTTACAGTAGTTGTTGTAGGGGTGGAAGTAGTTGTAGGTGTCACTGTTGATGTTGTTGAGGAAGGTGTGGATTCGGTCTCTGTAGATGTTGTTACAGTAGTTGTTGTAGGGGTGGAAGTAGTTGTAGGTGTCACTGTTGATGTTGTTGAGGAAGGTGTGGATTCTGTCTCTGTAGATGTTGTTTCAGTAGTTGTTGTAGGAGTGGAAGTGGTTGTAGGTGTCACTGTTGATGTTGTTGAGGAAGGTGTGGATTCGGTCTCTGTAGTTGTTGTTTCAGTAGTTGTTGTAGGAGTGGAAGTGGTTGTAGGTGTCACTGTTGATGTTGAGGAAGGTGTGGATTCGGTCTCTGTAGATGTTGTTGCAGTAGTTGTTGTAGGGGTGGAAGTAGTTGTAGGTGTCTCTGTTGATGTTGTTGAGGAAGGTGTTGATTCGGTCTCTGTAGTTGTTGTTTCAGTAGTTGTTGTAGGAGTGGAAGTGGTTGTAGGTGTCACTGTTGATGTTGAGGAAGGTGTTGATTCTGTCTCTGTAGATGTTGTTACAGTAGTTGTTGTAGGGGTGGAAGTAGTTGTAGGTGTCACTGTTGATGTTGTTGAGGAAGGTGTGGATTCGGTCTCTGTAGTTGTTGTTTCAGTAGTTGTTGTAGGGGTGGAAGTGGTTGTAGGTGTCACTGTTGATGTTGTTGAGGAAGGAGTTGTTTCTGTCTCTGTAGATGTTGTTACAGTAGTTGTTGTAGGGGTGGAAGTAGTTGTAGGTGTCACTGTTGATGTTGTTGAGGAAGGTGTGGATTCGGTCTCTGTAGTTGTTGTTTCAGTAGTTGTTGTAGGAGTGGAAGTAGTTGTAGGTGTCTCTGTTGATGTTGTTGAGGAAGGTGTTGATTCGGTCTCTGTAGTTGTTGTTTCAGTAGTTGTTGTAGGGGTGGAAGTGGTTGTAGGTGTCACTGTTGATGTTGTTGAGGAAGGTGTTGATTCTGTCTCTGTAGATGTTGTTACAGTAGTTGTTGTAGGGGTGGAAGTGGTTGTAGGTGTCACTGTTGATGTTGTTGAGGAAGGAGTTGTTTCTGTCTCTGTAGATGTTGTTACAGTAGTTGTTGTAGCAGTAGAAGTGGTTGTAGGTGTCTTGGTTGATGTTGTTGTAAAAGGTGTAGGTGTCGTAATGGAAGGGGTTGTAGAACAGTTTTCAATGCAACATACACTTATTTCATAGTTATGACAATTTGGTTTCATTCGATGTGCATTTTCTCGATTGAAACATTTTAGGCCATATGATGCATTGCAATGCACGGTTTGCTGCAACGCTTCCAAGGTCAAATCTGGATAATCTACCGCCCTGCATTTAATTTCTTTTGGTTTCTGGCAGTTTATTTGTTTCGAAGTCCACAAAGCATTAATGGATTCGGTTTCCGATCCTTGTGGATCTGTGCTGGGTTCGTTACTGTCAAACCAGCCTGACCACTTACAACTAGAATCACATATGCGAGGTGTTGTTGTACTAAGTGTAGATGGTGTTGCTGTTGAAGTAGGTGTCGATATTTCAGTTGTGGTTGTCTCTGTTGATGTAGATGTTGACCAGATGATGGGTGTTGTTGTACCAGTAGTTGTACTAGTTGTAGATGGTGTTTCTGTCGATGTAGGTGTCGATGTTCCAATAGTTGGTGTTGTAGTAATGGAAGTTGTTGATGTTGTTGAGGAAGGAGTTGTTTCTGTCTCTGTAGATGTTGTTGTTACAGTAGTTGTTGTAGCAGTAGAAGTGGTTGTAGGTGTCTTGGTTGATGTTGTTGTAAAAGGTGTAGGTGTCGTAATGGAAGGGGTTGTAGAACAGTTTTCAATGCAACATACACTTATTTCATAGTTATGACAATTTGGTTTCATTCGATGTGCATTTTCTCGATTGAAACATTTTAGGCCATATGATGCATTGCAATGCACGGTTTGCTGCAACGCTTCCAAGGTCAAATCTGGATAATCTACCGCCCTGCATTTAATTTCTTTTGGTTTCTGGCAGTTTATTTGTTTCGAAGTCCACAAAGCATTAATGGATTCGATTTCCGATCCTTGTGGATCTGTGCTAGGTTCGTTACTGTCAAACCAGCCTGACCACTTACAACTAGAATCACATATGCGAGGTGTTGTTGTACTAAGTGTAGATGGTGTTGCTGTTGAAGTAGGTGTCGATATTTCAGTTGTGGTTGTCTCTGTTGATGTAGATGTTGACCAGATGATGGGTGTTGTTGTACCAGTAGTTGTACTAGTTGTAGATGGTGTTTCTGTCGATGTAGGTGTCGATGTTCCAATAGTTGGTGTTGTAGTAATGGAAGTTGTTGATGTTGTTGAGGAAGGAGTTGTTTCTGTCTCTGTAGATGTTGTTACAGTAGTTGTTGTAGCAGTAGAAGTGGTTGTAGGTGTCTTGGTTGATGTTGTTGTAAAAGGTGTAGGTGTTGTAATGGAAGGGGTTGTAGAACAGTTTTCAATGCAACATACACTTATTTCATAGTTATGACAATTTGGTTTCATTCGATGTGCATTTTCTCGATTGAAACATTTTAGGCCATATGATGCATTGCAATGCACGGTTTGCTGCAACGCTTCCAAGGTCAAATCTGGATAATCTACCGCCCTGCATTTAATTTCTTTTGGTTTCTGGCAGTTTATTTGTTTCGAAGTCCACAAAGCATTAATGGATTCGGTTTCCGATCCTTGTGGATCTGTGCTAGGTTCGTTGCTGTCAAACCAGCCTGACCACTTACAACTAGAATCACATATGCGAGGTGGTGTTGTACTAAGTGTAGATGGTGTTGCTGTTGAAGTAGGTGTCGATATTTCAGTTGTGGTTGTCTCTGTTGATGTAGATGTTGACCAGATGATGGGTGTTGTTGTACCAGTAGTTGTACTAGTTGTAGATGGTGTTTCTGTCGATGTAGGTGTCGATGTTCCAATAGTTGGTGTTGTAGTAATGGAAGTTGTTGATGTTGTTGAGGAAGGAGTTGTTTCTGTCTCTGTAGTTGTTGTTGTTACAGTAGTTGTTGTAGCAGTAGAAGTGGTTGTAGGTGTCTTGGTTGATGTTGTTGTAAAAGGTGTAGGTGTCGTAATGGAAGGGGTTGTAGAACAGTTTTCAATGCAACATACACTTATTTCGTAGTTATGACAATTTGGTCTCATTCGATGTGCATTTTCTCGATTGAAACATTTTAGGCCATATGATGCATTGCAATGCACGGTTTGCTGCAACGCTTCCAAGGTCAAATCTGGATAATCTACCGCCCTGCATTTAATTTCTTTTGGTTTCTGGCAGTTTATTTGTTTCGAAGTCCACAAAGCATTAATGGATTCGATTTCCGATCCTTGTGGATCTGTGCTGGGTTCGTTACTGTCAAACCAGCCTGACCACTTACAACTAGAATCACATATGCGAGGTGTTGTTGTACTAAGTGTAGATGGTGTTGCTGTTGAAGTAGGTGTCGATATTTCAGTTGTGGTTGTCTCTGTTGATGTGGATGTTGACCAGATGATGGGTGTTGTTGTACCAGTAGTTGTACTAGTTGTAGATGGTGTTTCTGTCGATGTAGGTGTCGATGTTCCAATAGTTGGTGTTGTAGTAATGGAAGTTGTTGATGTTGTTGAGGAAGGAGTTGTTTCTGTCTCTGTAGATGTTGTTGTTACAGTAGTTGTTGTAGCAGTAGAAGTGGTTGTAGGTGTCTTGGTTGATGTTGTTGTAAAAGGTGTAGGTGTCGTAATGGAAGGGGTTGTAGAACAGTTTTCAATGCAACATACACTTATTTCATAGTTATGACAATTTGGTTTCATTCGATGTGCATTTTCTCGATTGAAACATTTTAGGCCATATGATGCATTGCAATGCACGGTTTGCTGCAACGCTTCCAAGGTCAAATCTGGATAATCTACCGCCCTGCATTTAATTTCTTTTGGTTTCTGGCAGTTTATTTGTTTCGAAGTCCACAAAGCATTAATGGATTCGATTTCCGATCCTTGTGGATCTGTGCTAGGTTCGTTACTGTCAAACCAGCCTGACCACTTACAACTAGAATCACATATGCGAGGTGGTGTTGTACTAAGTGTAGATGGTGTTGCTGTTGAAGTAGGTGTCGATATTTCAGTTGTGGTTGTCTCTGTTGATGTGGATGTTGACCAGATGATGGGTGTTGTTGTACCAGTAGTTGTACTAGTTGTAGATGGTGTTTCTGTCGATGTAGGTGTCGATGTTCCAATAGTTGGTGTTGTAGTAATGGAAGTTGTTGATGTTGTTGAGGAAGGAGTTGTTTCTGTCTCTGTAGTTGTTGTTGTTACAGTAGTTGTTGTAGCAGTAGAAGTGGTTGTAGGTGTCTTGGTTGATGTTGTTGTAAAAGGTGTAGGTGTCGTAATGGAAGGGGTTGTAGAACAGTTTTCAATGCAACATACACTTATTTCGTAGTTATGACAATTTGGTTTCATTCGATGTGCATTTTCTCGATTGAAACATTTTAGGCCATATGATGCATTGCAATGCACGGTTTGCTGCAACGCTTCCAATGTCAAATCTGGATAATCTACCGCCCTGCATTTAATTTCTTTTGGTTTCTGGCAGTTTATTTGTTTCGAAGTCCACAAAGCATTAATGGATTCGATTTCCGATCCTTGTGGATCTGTGCTGGGTTCGTTACTGTCAAACCAGCCTGACCACTTACAACTAGAATCACATATGCGAGGTGTTGTTGTACTAAGTGTAGATGGTGTTGCTGTTGAAGTAGGTGTCGATATTTCAGTTGTGGTTGTCTCTGTTGATGTAGATGTTGACCAGATGATGGGTGTTGTTGTACCAGTAGTTGTACTAGTTGTAGATGGTGTTTCTGTCGATGTAGCTGTCGATGTTCCAATAGTTGGTGTAGTAGTAATGGAAGTTGTTGATGTTGTTGTTGATGTTGTTGTTTCAGTAGTTGTTGTTGTAGTGGACGTGGTTGTAGGTGTCGCTGTTGATGTTGTTGCTACAGTAGTTGTTGTTGTAGTGGAAGTTGTTGTAGGTGTCGTTGTTGTTGTGGTTGTTGTGGTTGAACAAAAATCAACACACTTCATGGTCATCTCATTAAAAAATGGCTTATTTAAAGGGCACTCAGGAAAACATCCTAGTTTAATAAAAGGAAAGCAGGAATAGACAAAAAAGAGACTTAGTTATTGACAGATCATCTATAAGCTATCTGATATAATTTTAAAGGGGACCTATTAGGAAAAATTCACTTTTATAAGGAGCTATACAGCTATACATTTTCAATTTTATTTTAAACGAAATACATTTTCATGTATTTGTGCTCATCACTTCTTGCAGCCTTAGTTTCTTGTTAATTGTGCAAAGTTTTAAAAAAATCTTCTGCTTGTTGGACATTTATAAAATAAGTTCTTAGATTTATCAAATCTAGTTTGTTTTGTAGTTCAACTGGTAGAGCAAAAGTAAATGTAAAAAATATAACCTTCAAGAGGAGGAATTTGATCAGAGCAGGTTCCTGATGGGTTTCTGCAGGTTTTTATGCAAGTTGGTCCACAGGATTTATAGTGCCAATCACATTCGCCAATGGAGTTGTAATAGTCACAGAATAAAGCTGCAAAAACAATCATTTCAGTCCGCACAATGACAATATTTTCGTAGATCATAGAAGATTATGCAGATTTTTTAAACACCAACATAAACTAAGTTCTATGACATTGTCCACATTAAAGTTTAAAGATAAAAGTAACCAAAAATATTATTTATTTTTAGAAAATGTGTGACTTACGGCAAAAGCTTGGACTCCGCCATGTCACACAAATGTTTTTTTTACGGCATTCAGCAGCATAAGCTGCCACTGCAGTACAGAGACAATCACAGTCACTGCTGTCACATGCACAGGTGTCCCTTAGACAGGCATCATAGTATGGGCCAGAGTCCACCTAGAGACAGGAAGACAAAATCTTTTACAGCTTCCATCAAGTTCCTCATGGCAGAAGATTAGAAAAAGTTTTTGCTTCCACTTCCTCAAGAGGTAACTGTTAGTAGAACAACTTAAATTAAAATACACTATTAAAATAATTATTTTCTGTGCCACTAACATCACAAAATGGAATTGTAAAAATAATGATTGATTTCAAATAAGTTGTCCGTCATTGGTCAAATCAATTATTTCAACATTGAAAAAACAACCTTTAACTCACCTTTATATATATATAAAAAAAAAATAGTTTATACAGATACTTACATATGCATTACATTCTTTAAAGACTTCGTTTTTAATGATGCTGCATCGTTTCTCAGCCCATGTCTTCCGATGTGGATGTTCTATACAAAGGTCATTTGCGTCTGTCACATCTGGGCATGTGAGTTTCAACTTCCAGCTATTCCCAAATTCCTCTGAATCTGTCACCACTTCTCCATTGTGCTTCATAAAGTCATTGTTTGCATTACCATCAAAGTTTCCACACAGTCCACACACCTTGCCCTGCCACAGAGATCAAGTGGATGTTTATGCGAGTACTTGAATAAAGGATAAAGTACTTGTGTGTGTTTGTGTCTGAATGGCTGTACCTTTAAGGAATGCATACCTTAAATTTGGGATGGAGTTGGAGCATCAGGCTTGTTTTATTGTCCCAGATTAAGTTTAAAAGACCATCAACCTCTGTGACAATATATATCCCAGCAGAATGGATGTGATATTGGTAATCCGTGCCATTGCTTTCACCAATTTTTACTCCATCTTCTGATAATTGTATCTCATGTCGCTGCAGAATTTGAATAATGAGTAGCAAAACATTCTCCATAAATCTGATAGGTCATTGGATATTTCTCTTATGATATTATAATTAAGGACAAACAAAAATATGTACAGATTTTGTATTTTAAAATTATAAATATCTACCCTCATTATATAAATGTACGGTGACACATTGCTGCCACATACATATTATTTATTTCCCCTCAATTATGTCGTAATAACGAGATCTTATGTCGTTAAAACGACATATTTTCTCGTTTTAATGACATAATATCTCGTTTTAACGAAATATCTTGTTTTAACGACATAATATCTTGTTTTAACGACATAAATGTCTCATTAAAACGACATAATATCTCATTTTATACCATAGTCTGGGTGAATACTCGATTCTGATTGGCTGCAGGGTGTCCGTTAAAAAGTGATAGAGGACACCTAGTAAAGTAGTTCTGGTGAAACTGCCTGTTTACCATTCGAAATTTATAAATAAATGCGCTGCCTACAACAGCTGTGGGTAACCATAGCAACAGGCAGTCAAACGCTCTATCAAAACAAACATCTAACGTTAGATACTATAGCCTAATACAACAATGAGCGACTTCGTTATTTCTTTTAACATTTATGGAGAATATGGCAACTTTGACGACTGGTATGCTGTAGGTCGACTCTCCGATGCTGGACTGGAGAGCCGTCAAATAATGTCGGTGACAGGCCATCGCAAGAGCAGTTTGTGGGCTTACTGGGCTCCGTCTCTCCGTGAGAGACGAAGCTGGAGCAACGTACTGTCTGCATCAAGTGCCCATCATGGGCAGCAGTAACGTTACCCAGCTTTTGTGGATCCTCCTGACTGGCCGACTTTTTCAAATTGCACTATAAATGGAAACGTTGAAATTAATTGTAAATAAAAAAGCTAGCATGTAGGCAAATGACCCTCTTTTTGATCTGATAAATTTATTGCCCTCTATTAGCACAAATCGCTGGTGCTCAGAACAATTTTTTTTTTGTTGTGTGTGTGTTTTTTTATTTTTGTTTGATTAATTGTTTTATGTGTAATAACTTTTGTGCCTACCTTTGTGTTTCATGAAAAAAAAAACATTTTGAACCTGAAGGGTTCTACAAGCTGAGCGGACTATAAAGATCTCAGGTTGCTAAATAAACCGTCAGGCAAGTTATTATTTGTAAAAACTAGATTTAGCCTAATTAAAATATAAACTAATGTTTTAAAAATGTTTTATTTGGCAAGTGACCATGGTATAAGCGGGTTAATGCCCTCCGAGGTGTCCATTGTCAGGTTTTAATGGACTTCGGTCCATTAATATATATATATATAATATATATATATATATATATATATCGGCGTCGGCCGGTTCACGCCTCGCCGTCGTCCATTAAAACCTGACAAACACCTCGTCGGGCATTAACCCTTACTTAACGACATAAATATCTCGTTATAACAACATAAATATCTCGTTATAACAACATAAATATCTCGTTATAACGACATAAATATCTCGTTATTTCCACATAATAAGGGGACATTGTAATATGCATTAAGCTACATTTAGTGTTCTTATAATGAGTTTCTATGGGAGGAAAATGCTTAACGTCAAATTAAACGCGTTCATATTCTGGACTTCTGATTTTTGTAGTATACTTTATTATGATTTTAGTATCATATTGATTAATAAATGCACGCACAATTATCAGTGAACTTGATAAATGTATGTTTTTATTAGGCTACTATATCCACAAAAAATTGCTTTCAGTTATGTCCATTTTTTTTATAACAAGATATTTATACACATGTATACGTGTTTATAATGAGATATTTATATACATGTCCTTTTTTTATAACGAGATATTTATGTCATTATAACGAGATATTTATGTTATTAACCCTTGTGCTGCATTAGATTTTTAACACCGTTGAGTGCATTAAGGACCAAAAATGGCCACATATTAAACATTGCCTAAAATATTATATATTATTATTATTTTCCACTTTTACCAAGTTAAATCTTTTAACCAGCATCAGTCCTCATCATAACTACCAAAAATGTATTCAATTTCAGGATTTTAACCCTTTAATTACCAGTTTTGTTTGCGAAACCATCGGAAGTGAACCAACTATTCACTTCCTTCTCTATGGGCCTGTAGTCAGTTAACGTAGTGTGATTGCGCAGAGCTACGTCACACGTAGGCTCACTATTGGCCGACGCTGGTCATGTGTGTGATGCGTGTGACGTACAATAACAGAAGCTTTCGCTATTAAACTAGTAACCTGACTCGTGCAGAGGGAGAAATAAACGAATAGTTGAAATAAAGTCGTTATTTTTGTTGTTTTTTTGTGCACAAAAGTGTTCTCGTCGTTTGATAAACTTAAGATTGAGCCACTGCAGTCACTTGGACTATTTTAACGATGCCTTTAATGACTTTTCGGGGACAGCAAGAGCCAGTCCCTCAAGAAGCCTATGGACTAGTATGCAGGAGCGATCTTAATATCTTAAATATCTTAATTTGTGTTCCGAAGATGAACGAAGGTCTTACGGGGTTGGAACAACATGAGGGTGAGTAAATACTGACAGAATTTTCATTTTTGGGTGAACTAACCCTTTAAAACGAGATATTATGACGTTATAACGAGACATTTATGTCGATAAAACGAGATATTATGTCATTAAAACGAGAAAATATGTTGTTTTAACGACATAAGATCTCGTTATTGCGACATAATTGAGGGGAAAAATAATATGTATGTGGCAGCAATGCATCACCGTATAAATTATACATGTATACAAATTTTATAATACTGCATTCATGCTCAGGTTGAGCAATGAAATTAATAAACTCACCCCAAAGGAGAGACTGATTGACTTGCAGAAGGTGCCCGTCTCACAGAGTGTGTTCTCTGTGACAAGGCGGAAGGTGGGAGTCAGGTGGTCCATATTACAATTATCCTAGAGCAGTAACACACACACACACACACACACACACACAAGTAATATGTTAGGCAGTGAAGATGTTGACACAAAGGGGTGATTTCAATGAATAGTCATTATTTCGACAAGTAACTTTGCAACTACGCCTGAATATTTATTAACTCTCATTAGAGTATACCGTGTCCTAACCACACGCAATGCGATAAGATTTCAGCGACAAGAAATGTAGTGACTGATCAACCTCTCCCAACGAATCAGCACCACAATGAGGCAAACCTGTCAAGAATGAAGCCTCATCACTGTTTTTATATGTCAATCGAAATAAAATTTAAATTGCAATATGGGGTGATCATTTAACACACACCCACTATTTTCTAATAATTCAACAGCCCGGAATCAATTATTCCTATTCATATTTTGCTTCGGTATAATGAAATAAAGTCTGTACTCTAAAATAAGTACAGATACTTGAAACTGTACTTAATTAGACTACAGTAACAAAGTATAAATACTTAGTTGCTATCCACTACTGAGGGACACAGACAAGGAAAAACATACATGGGCTAAGGTGTGTTTACAGTCTCCGTGGAAGGAATATTTCCTGCCATCAAAAGTCTTGAAATGACCTTCACCGTAGATGGTACAGGTGCCGTAACACTCTTTATCTGTACAACTCCACATCCCATTTGTGCATGTGCTGAAATATTAAACATAAATCCGTTTTTTTTTTAACAATTATCCTCATTGTTAACAATAGACTATAACAACGTGGGTTATGTATGATGACTGGGTGTCTGGCTCACCATTTGTTACAGTCCTGCTGAACTTGGCCCCCAGGAGAATAGGAGACTCCATTGTGGGTACAACTACATTTTTCCCTCCTCACACACCCACCTTTGCCATCAGCCAGAAGGCCGTCTGGACACATACACCCTGATACACACCCTGTGCTCACCTATAGCCAATGTAAACAAAAGAAGGACCAGGATTAGTACAACATTAGGCCCCTAGCAACATAATATATTTCTTTCATCCTATTATTCATATTATTCGTGTATTCTCATCTATCCATCCGTTCCAACTCACACAATTGTTCAGGTCTTGTTTCTCACACGTCCTCTGACACTCTGTCCCTCTTGTTCCAGGATTTGTGCAGTTGAAGAAGACCATTGGATCTACACAGTCTAAATCAGAATAGCACATGGATGAGGAGCAGAAAACTTGCAGACGTCATACCAATGTTGCTGTATCTCAGTAATGTCTTAAGTTTGAATTTGGCAGATGGTATTGCTGAAAAGGTTATCTTTGGCTCACCTGCTTGTCTTGAGCAGTTCAATTTGCCATGGTTACATTTGCTATAACATGACAAAAAGGACAAGGAAACATCAAGAGTAACTACAGGATTTTTATCAATAAAGAATAAGTCAATAATGGAGCATGTTCAACTATTATTTTTACCATTTAACACCATTATTGTAGAATATTCCTGATGCGTCTATGACCTTGTCACCATAGTAACAAGGACACTGGTCTGCGAGTACACAGCTGCCGGCTTCATTGAGGTATGTTCCATCAGGACAGACACAGCCATCTACAGGTGTGAAGGACCCTTGGCAGGTGTTATCGTGTACACTGAGAGAGCGGCAGCTGCTTCCACAGCTGGTCACTCCGTAAGAGTACTTCATGTTTCCTGGACACTCAGTCTCTGTCCAGACAGATTACCACACTTTTGTTATGATTCATAGTTTAATGCAAAATCAAAATCATGCATGTTAATAATATAATACTCACATTCACATTTACATCTCATGCCATACATATAAACAAACAAACACATGAAGTTCTCACCACAGGGGTCTGAATCCATCCAGCCCTGGAGAATGACTCCTTTGGCAGCACATGCGTGGGCATACGTGGACACGGCCGCACACATACACTTTTTAATATCTGCACACTTGCAGGTGTCATAGACGCACCACTGGAGAGAAAAAAACAGATTGAATGCATGCATCAAGACAAGTGTGCAGTACATTTTAAAAGAGAAGAGTGTTTTATGTACGAACACTTACTTTGTAGTACATCTCAGGATTTATTTCTGAGTGACATTCGGAAAAGGTCCCATTTGGGTTTGTGAGACGGGAACACCAGTCTTCAGCTATTTTCTCTGAATGAAATAGATAAAAACATTCAGCACAGCAGCATTTAAACCCTATCCTGTCCTTGTCCTCTAGTATCCCAAATAACACGGATCAAAAATATCAGGAAGGGGAAAACAAAGCCTCTATTTATACTATTAAGTATTTTTAATATTCTCTCAGTTGTCCTGATAAATACCTGTCTGTGAAATCACGCTACAGGGATTTTCTGTGAAAAAAGTGTTTTTGTCATCTGTACAACTGAACAAGTTTTTCTTCCAAAAGTTGACAAATGTTATTGGTGTGCCCTCTGTAATGCCTGATTCCGTTTTAAAGTCGTCTTCTTGAATGTCGTTATAGTTTCCACAGAGACCTGAGAGGAGCAAGAGGTTAGAGATGATTATAACAAACTCTGTTATTAATTTTGTCTATATGATACATACTTTTAGTCTTTTCCTAAAATATATGTGCAGAGGGTAGAGTTATTATTTACATTACCGGGGTCATTACAATCAAAATGACAAAATGATTTGCTGTCTTCTTTACTAACCACTCATTTTTCCTTTCTCTTCAGTGCTGGCTATAATATACAACTGCATGACTGGAGCCAACTGGATCTCTAGACGAAGACTCTTCATATCAGCAATAATGAAGGAGGAAGAGGGCTGGAAGATGCTCACAGGACCTGCATGATGGGACAACGAAATGAGTGGGTAAGAAATAAAGCAGGCGCAAAAGAGTTTTGCATCCCAATCATCAGCTTCCATTCGCAATGCACCGCAAAAACCAGGGTGCATCCATGCTCACTTTCCCTTATCGTATATTCTGTTAAATTTTCTGAAGCACAAAACGTAAATTGCACACGTAAAATACACAATACACATCATGACACACGACAGAAGTTTTGAAAAAACAATTTAGGCAGTTGTGTTGGTTATGGTCGATCAGATCACAAATGGACAAAACTAAATACACGTATAAATGGGGTCTAAAACAATTTGAACTTGTCCACTTTCAACCACATCCAGAGCCAGTACAGGAATTTGTGTACATGATAAAATGATTCACAAGCTGAGTGAGAGAAACACCTTAATAAATTATATATATATATATATATATATATATATATATATATATATATATATATTTTAAGTACATATATATATATATTAGGTATATATTTATATATATATATATATATGTAATTTATTTAGTTAGTTGTACAGAGATAGGATAAATGGGACATACAATTTGTTGTACACTAAGGTAAGATGAGCATTTTGTGTTTGCTGGGGACAACCCACCTTCAAGGACAGGAAGCAGATATGGACGACTATTCATTAAAACGGATCCACTGGAGGAAAAACTAATCTGTTTTGAAAGTAAAACAGCAACAACATTTTTTTAATTCTATTGTTTTACTGTGAATATGATGAATGCATTTTTAAAGAAAATCCAAATTACTGAAATAAAATGTACAAAAAAAATAGAATAAATAAAAATCCAATAAAATAGAAATAGTTTTGTCATCATATCATCCTGTAATGATTCATGTAAGATTTCAAGCTTTAAAATGGGATGCAAAAGAAGCTGCTGAAAACCAGTATAGCATCATATGACATGTCTGACTATCATTCTGAGATTAAAAGAGTATTTAATTTTTATGAGGTCATTTAGAAATTAATAAATTAAACTTAAACAATAATTAAAAAATAAATTGACTATTAAACAGAGCTTACAGTGCTCCCCGAGATGACAAGGGTCACTGAATTTAGACATGTGTCTGTTCGGCCCGGACCACACACTGCCAGATTTCCCACGACAGCAATATCACTGTCATTAGAATGCTGGAATCAAACAAACAAAACAATAACATTCACAATTTAAATAATTTATCTTTTCAGGGAGTCTTATTTAGGTCAGATTAAAGCAGCACTATGTAACTTTTTCAACCTTTATAATATTTTTCCAAAACCCTTGAGATGGTACAATAGGTAGGAACTGCTTTACGGCATACCTCACTTCCCCCACTTCCTTCTGCAGAGTTCGGGAGTATCGCTTGTCAACAAATGCACGCGTGTATTCCCTAGTGTCACCATGACAGATTTTACGACAGTTGTAGAAGACAATACTGTTTCCCAACTGTAGGGGGACCCCGAGGGCAAAATTTCAAAAGTAACATAATGCTGCTTTAAGGTGCATTTGCTTTATTGAGAGTCGCAGACCTTAGTGAGGAAGTAGTCACAGTTCCCATTAAAAGTAAATTTTTTTCCATCGTAAGTGGTGATGTGAGACCCTCCCACAACAGAGCAGATTCCGGGACATTCCAGATCCGTGCAGCTCCAATATCCAGCCGCACACACACTGAGACAGTATGACAGCAGTGTTAGCATGTGTATGTTCCTGGATCATGTGGTCTATTACAAACAACTCACCATGTTTTACAAGCTTGTGTGTATGACATTCCTGATGAGTATATGTTGCCATTGTGCTCACATGGGCAGTCGTTCACAGGGACACAACCGTTGTTACCAATGTCATCCTCAACGGTGCCTTCACAAAAAGTAGGCAAAATGTATTGAGAACATAACAAACCAAACAGTTCTGATATTTAAGCTCTGCTTGCATCTAATGTAATACTTTAAGCATGATTATATTGTTATTCTTGCAAGGAGAAGCTTCATTTGAAAATAGACCCATCAAGTGGTATAATTTCTCACCTTCAGGGCAGAAACAGCCGTCCACACAGTGTTCGTTGCACATTAGAGTTGCGGTTGGATCTTTGCAGGTGTTCTTGCACGGACTTCCACACTCCAGGTATTGCATGTTTAGAGGACATGTCTTTGCTGCTCCACAGAATAAGAATAATTATTATATCAAACACACACTGTACAGTATCAGGATTGAATGCTGGACCCATAAATTCAGTCAAATGTGTCCAAACTAGTAGTGTATGTAAATTGGGTTTTAAACAATTATTGATTTATTTTTAATCATACTTCATAAATCATAGAAAATTCTAATCTTCATTTAATTCTGAGCTGTAAATGGAGTGGTGATAATGGCATTTTATTCCCACTGGTTTCTTTTCTGATACTCACGGCAGAGCTGGTCTGTCCTCCATGTTCCTGGATTTCCTCCAGCATGTGTGCACTGTCGTGAAATCTCCGTGAGTGTGTTGCAGAGACAGTCGTGATTGCCGTAACATTGACACAGGTCGTTCACACAGGCCTCTTCAAATGAACCCATGTTCATCACATTGTAACAGTCGCTAAACCCTGGACTTCTGAGATACTGCTGGCAAACACTTGTCTATAGGAGATTAAAAAACTTCACTGGTGATTTTTAAAGGCCTCTCAACTAAGACAATATAGAACCATAACAAATTTGAAAAAAAAAAAATGCAGAAATATTATACAATTCAAAAGAAGTCAATTATAAATTATACAAGTAGAATATGAAAAAGAAATGTTAAAAGAAATGTCAAATTTCACTGTTACTAATTCGTCATAATACCTGATTTTTGCACTGATTATTAAGGGGAAGATTGATGTCGCCACAGGATTCAAGGGAAGACACCTTCCATTTGACCAGATTAGAAACATCTGTACATGTTTAAAATAAAAAAATTAAATAAAAATTAATCAAAATGAGATACCATCAATAAAACTGCAGGTGATTTAATCATAATTAGGTTTTACCTTTGTCAACTGAATCATCAGCCTGTTTGCCATTGTAGTTTCCACAGAGTCCACAGGTCTGACCTTGATACTTTTCAGACAGTTCAATCTGGAATATTATACAAAAATATACGATTTGTAGAGGACTGAGATTCGACGCACTGGTTTACAAATATCCTACCAATAAAGAAACAGCATACCAATAAAGATTGGTCCTTCTCCCAAAAGACAGTCACTCCATGTTTGTTAGAGATCTTAACACTTGATGTGCTCAACTCGACTGTTATTCCATTTTTATAGGCTGAATTATTCAATCTGTTAGAGCAAGTTGCAAAAAAGAACAGTCAACAAAAAGAAAGGGGTGTTAGTAAAGAGTTAGTAAAAATAAACTCACACTTTGCCGTCCATCATGACGTCGTTGTCGGTGAGTTTAATGACTGCCTCCTGTAGATCTATTGTGATTTTGCTAAAAACGATTGAGCCATTCACAATCTCTCTTTGCATTTGGATGTTAAAATCAGATGGTGTGCTGTCACACATCACCGCCAGAACGTAGTTGCACGTGTCTGGCACTTGAAAGAAATGACCGTCGAATGTCTTGAAGTGGAAATTTCCCCACGCGCTGCAGATCGTGGACTGATGATCAGGATTTGATTCTAAAAGACCCAAGAGAGAATATATATATCAAAAATATCTCTGTACTAGCACTTAAAGGGCAGTTTCAATTGTAAAAAAAAAAAAAACCAAAAAAAAAAAAAAAAAAAAAAAAAAAAACAGTGACTTTATCCATACCTCTAGTCACCATCACGGTGTTTAGGTTGGGAGGGAAAACTAAAAAAAGAAGAAGAAGAAGACGAGAGGAAGAGTTTTTTTTTTAATTTAGACATTTATTTAAACATATTAAGAGATTTATCAAGATAAAATTATTATTATTTTATTATAATTCTTTGTAAATTCAATTAGTACTGGGACTAAATATTTTCATGATATGTTAACACAATTACTTGAATAGTTTTCCATGACTAATTGTGATGTGCAATTAATACTTTTTGAACTTATCATAAATGCTGTTTATTTACAAACTGAAACAAATTAATGTGGGATGAACATATAGCCTAGTAAACTGTCTTTTAAATAATATTTGTGTAATGGGATATTTTATTCGGATTATTTAATTGATTGTTTAATTAACACACATGAAAATGAAATATTTACCATAGTTAATATTTAGACATTCTCTGTTACTAGTGAGAATTGGACTAATCTGAAGCGTGACCAAAAATACATTTTATTACTGCACACTTTTATACCTAAAAAAAAAAAAGGTATAAGACAGAGAGAACAGTTTTTCTAGCTTTTTTATTAAATCGATTATAAATTTAAACCAAAATATTTGATACATAATTCTTGAATATATTTGTATTGACTTGAAGTTTTAAGGTATACTTGTTGTGAATGTGACATCTACAGTATTAATGTATTTGGTATATTACAAATCTGCATCAATCCAATCAATATATCTTGTATAGGCTAATACAAACAAGACAATTCAATATTTACTTGGTGTTGTTGTTGGCGGCCAGGTGAAGTCCATAGGATTTTCCATGTCTGCATAATCTCCCATAAAGTCTTTAAACAGAGATTTATTTTGGATGTTCATTTTAAGAATTTTGAGCTTTTCTTACATTTTTTTTGTTCTTTTTTCAGTTGTAGTCTACTTACCTGCTTGTACGGACTGCAGCCCGACCAATAGGACGACCCATCTCAGCATCCACTTCTGGGACATCTTCACAGTCCCCATGGAGACCAGATCCATCCTCAAGAGCTAATGTGAGCTGTTTGTCAGCACATGTCCTTTTATAATGACTATCAGTTTGCTTTGGAGGAATGTGGTTTGTTATCAGAAGGTGGAACCAGGATAATGCATTTCCACAGTATTCTATCTTTTTCAAGTGAATGTGTAACATATATCTGTATTTGTGAACAGTTATGCAAACCTTGGCGAGAAACCCTTTCTCATGAACAAAACTGCATTTATCTGTTATCATCTCAAACTAAACAAGGATGTGAGTTCTGACAGTGGGAATTTTTAATTACTTATAATATAAATACATAGTGTGATGCATAGTAATATATTCAATAAATATCTACCTACCTACTGTTGCTAGTTCTGGGTAAGCAAGAGTTTTGCATTAACATTTAAGAGACCCTGTTTTTTGATAAGAAAGAATATTGGCAGTAATATTATTTCACACTAAAAATAAAAATAGTTTCGAACAAAGCCGTTGTCGTAGAGCAACCCAGACTGGCGTACTGTCTGGAACGGCACAAATATTTCTGATAGAATACACTGTAAGATGATTGGAAAAACCAGCTTCAGTTGCTTCAGTTTGTTGCTTATAATGCTTTTATTTAATCTTGTGCAAAATACACATCCTGTTTCACTACATGCAAAGAAACAGTACTTAAGGATGTCAAGTATTATAATTTGGGTATGTCCAATGCCCATTATAATTATTTTATTAACCCCCAGTTTCACAGTTCAGTTCAGATACCTTTATTAGTCCCCAAGGGGCAATTCAGTTTTACAGCCAACCCATCCATTCCATAATAGTTAAAATACATTAACACACAATGAATAATAAAAAAAAAATACTCACATCCACATATTTACTCACTAGTTTACCAACCAGTATCACACACACACACACACACACACACACACACACACACACACACACACACACACACACACACACACACACACACACACACACACACACACACACACACACACACACACACACACACACACACACACACACACACACACACACACACACACACACACACACACACACACAGAGACATTCAACTGCCATTGACTAAACAGAGCAGTGGAAAGCAAGAACCAATTCCATATATTTATGTATTTCCATTTAGAAGTCTTATAGCAGACAAGGCTTAAAGGAGTAGTTTACTTCTAAAAAAAGGATTTTCTCCATTTAATGGACTTCATTGGGAACCAAACGGTTCAAGGTCCAAATGAGAGTTTCAGTGCAGCTTCAAAGGGCTTTAAACGACACCAGACGATGAATAAGAGTCTTATCAAGGACCCTTCGAGTCATGACTCGAAAAAAGATTCATTCATTTTGATGAACTAGTTCGAACAGGGGAGTCACGAACGCTCATTACAGAACAGAGCAAGGTGAGCATTTGTGCTTCTAAAACTGAAACATTTTTATTTATTTTTTAAATGACCGATCGTTTCGCTAGATAAGACCCTTATTCATCATCTGGAATCGTTTAAAGCCCTTTGAAGCTGCACTGAAACTCTCATTTGGACCTTGAACCGTTTGGTTCCCATTGAAGTCCATTATATGGAGAAAATCCTGGAATGTTTTCATCAAAATCCTTAATTTCTTTTCGACTGAAGAAAGAAAGACATGGACATATTGGATGACATGGGGGTGAGTAAATTATCAGCAAAAGTTTTTTTTTAAAAGTGAACTACTCCTTTAAGCTATATCTTAAAATATATCAGTAGCATTGTCTCATTTTGTCTCAAGATCCACACCAGTAGAGTTTTTTTTTTCTAAGGCACATTTATAAAAGCTTATTTGTCCTAATTGAACCTAGGTCTAATCCTGGCGTAATCTAAACCCTGCTAATTTTATTCCACTGCTGAAATTTAGGAAGATCTCTCAGTGAAAGCTGTTCTTCTAACAACAGGATAACACACGGACCATGAAATAAACATACCATTTTAGTCAACATACCGACAATTCATTTTCCATGAGATAGAAAATGAGTAACTCAGTATCAGTAATCAGTAACTGAAGACTATTGTTTTTTTAATGGAAAGAGCAAAACTTAAATGTCTGTCATGCTATGACAGTCACATGAATGACTATAAATCAACACGCTTATAAAATACAAAAATGATGTAAGCAGTAGATCGTTTCAACAAAGCCAATTGCGCACTTAGTTTTATATATGATCTTAACATTTCGAAGCAATTTAATAGTATTATACAATTTCACTACATTTGGTCATTTACTTTTATAGTATTTCTGTAGCTCAAACAGTAGATCATGGTGCAAGAGACACAGGTTATGACAAATGCTGTAAATTTTAATATAGGCTACAGTATCTGTCCTGTTCTAGAGGGAATATATAAATATGTGAACAACATAAATAAAATATAAAATGTTTTAGTGCAAGACTCAATACACGTGTGTTGAAGTTTAATATGCTTTTTTATTTATTTTCATTTCAAACAAGCAAAAGAGTACACCTTTATCAAGCAAAGAAAAAAGAAGAGACCTATAGATAAAATGCAAGAAATGTTAAAGAATGTGCCATTTAAGTTAATTTCTGATTACAAATTTTCACTACGATACTTTTCGAGACATTTCGTTTTTGCATGGGTTTGATGATTCACCGCTGCTGCTCACGGAAGTCCCAAGCTGCGTTTTCTTTGGCTGTTTTCAATGAGTGCGTCGTTTATGTGACATTCAGTTCTGCTACAGGAGCACTCTTCGACATGGATGTACGAGTGGGTTATTATGTCTCCATTTACGCAACCAAGATTCACTGTGCGATTACTTGAACGCGTGGCCTGGCAACAGCTACAGGAGGACAATCCAGGTGCAGTGTAGCTATGTATGAAAGAGAAAAAAACATGTTAAACATTTCAAATCGGTCACTTATGTCTGTTTCAGTGAGGATGCTGCTTGTAGGTTTCGTAACAGAAACCTACTCACCTGCTAAAGCTGTTACAGTCTCCACTACAAAATGTCAGGTCCATTTTCTTCTCTGACTGGCAGTCCATGTGATTTATGTAATCGCTAACAATCTTTACTCCACATCCGTAACTTGGTCCACACCTACAAACACAGGCAATTGAATGCACAAGGACATGTTAATTGACTCAAATCACCAAAAAATTGAATCGTTTTCATTTTTATAATTACTCACAAACACGGCAGCAGCCATCAGCTGACAGCTGAACGGTACCCTGTAGAGCGAATCACAAGGGCAGAATGTCATCAATGTGATTCAATCACATGACTTGTCAGTATTACATGTAAATGAGTGTTTGTGTGATATTTGAAGTACTGACAGGCTGGCAGTTCGTAACGTTGAAAGGAGGGCACTGGACTGTGTATTTGTCAGTGATGAACTGTCCATTAACTTTAGTGCATGTGATTCTGTCACAGCCCTGGTTTGTAGAGGGTAAACTGGCTCCGTCCTATAAGGAAAAGAGAACAAGTCAAATTCAGTTAAAGGACATTGCAAAACATTTAGATTTAGATTTAGATTCAGAGAATAATGGCTTAAATTTAGCTGTTTCTCACACACATTCAGAAAACGTATTTTATAATGCTTTTTTGTCCAGCTTCAGGTTTGTTTTTTTTTTTGAGGACAATTCAATTCTGTTGTATGGGGAAAAGCAGCACGAAAGGTTTCGTTTTGTGTCCAAGGGCTAAAAATCATTTTTGACATGAGGATAAGTTACAATTTATTTGGTAACACTTTACAAACGACGGTGCACTAATAAGCATTAATTCATGCTTAACTAATGCACAGATAATACTAAATTAATGTGTAAATAATGATTATTTAAGCTATTTATTAATGATTACCACATTAGGAACTAATTAAGAGTCTGTAAGGTTAATTTATTAGTTCATACATGAATTTTTATTAATTAAATATGTATTGTGGATTAATTCTAAAAATAATTGATTTTTTTAACTAATAGTGTTAATTAATATGTTAATACCAGAATAAGCCAAAGCCTTGTATTTCAACTTCTAGAGGTACACTAATATGCATTAATACATGATTAATTAATTCATTGTTAGTGCAAAATTCATGTGCAAATTACTACAATTACTAAATGACTAGTTAATAATGATGTGCCCCAACAAGTAAAGTCATAACATAATGATACCTTAGCAAATCATTAGCTAATGATTAATTAAAGCAGACAACTGGAAGTTGAAGTGCATAGCTTTGACTAATTGTGGTAATTAACACATTAATTGACACTATTAGTTAATAAAATATGTTATTAAGGAATTAATACACAATGCCACATTGAATTAATAGCAATTAATTTATTACTTAATCTATTAATCATATAGACTCTTTATTAGTTGCTGATGCAGTAATAATTAATTAATTAATGTTTTAGTTCTTCATGAGATTATCTGTGCATTAGTTAAGCATGAATTAATGCATATTAGTGCACCCGTATTGTAAAGTGTTACCATTTTTTTCTTTCAACATTTATTTGCATTTTTTTCCATTTCAGCCACACCTCAAGATGACGTTGACGTTTGACCGTACCTGCAGTATATGCTCGACGCCGTTGATGTTGATGATGCAGTGAGTTTGCACACACTTTCCGCAGCAGTCATGGCCTGTATCAATATATTCATAACCCTGGGAAATACAAACATCAAATGAAGTCGACAAAATTCAACTCGTTCCTGAGACAAGCCTATCAGAAACTCGTCAAACAACTTACAGGTTTACATTCTCATCGCACTGCACAAATTCACATTTGATCTTGAACCACTGTGTTTTAGGATCCACATCCCAGGTACAGCTACATTCCTGACAGTCAATGACGGGGATCTTGGTACCAGGCTGAGGAAGTGAGGGAGAGATTTGAGCGTGCAAAACTTTCATAAATAAGTATTTAAAACAAATAAAAAAGAGCTAGAGATATTTGATTTTTAAAAAAGGGTAATATCAGAGTCATTTTATTTACCTGATACTCTACGTTTTTGTGACACAAACTTTCTTTGGCTCTAAGGAAGTAAACGACAAAAGATTATAAAACTATATTATAGAATGATTTTCAAGGGGATACAGACAGCATCTGAAATGAAAACAAACAGGGCTAAGAGTATCACAAAAATGAAGTGAAGTGTGTGAATATAGTGATACCGCATTTGATTTCTGGACAGCATTTTCGATAGGCACTTCCAGGACCGGCGCATATCCGACTCCACACTTTTATCCAAAGGTGGGCAAACGTTGACATCACAATCTACATCAAGAAACAGAGTAGAAGAGACTTAGGCGATGCATCCCTAAAGCAAACCCCTTTAAAAACTGTAAATAAACTTGTCTTACTGCAAACTTGTTTGTTGCAGCATGGATCTGAGGGATTGGTGACATTGACTAGCACAAAGCCGGGCTCAGTGCAGCTCGCAGGATTCACATCAGGACACTTCTTGGGTTTACAGGTCACCGATTTGCTGGCCTTTTCACAAACACACTCTTCGCAGTTGTACTCGAAAACCTCATCAAACTGCCACAAAAAAACAAGAGGATTCGGTTAAAAGTCCTGGAGATAATTCTTTAAAATGGCATTAAATATAAATTCACATTAAATGCGTGTTATAGATAATATCCTAAATGATTTATCCATGCATACAGTTCATCCCTTCCATAATGAAGTGCAAGCTTTTATCGATCCAATCCAATTGATACCTAATGATAGAACCCACCCTACAATTTTTCTTTTCTTTTCATTAATCCGTTAAACTCTGATGAAAATAATACATAGTATGGAATAAAAGATCAGTCACTACTAATGTTTTATTTACACAATTGTACATTTTTGTTGGTTTGCAAGCGATAGAAACTCATAAGTGACCGATTTGAAATTCTATAGGCAGCTACAACAAATAGAGCAACTCACATAAAGAGTACTCACATTAGTATTTTGCCAAGCTAAAATTTCAATCTAATATGCATAAAAATGCATATCACAAAAAAAAAAAAAAAAAAAAAAAAAAAAACACTGGTACGAAATAGTTGCACTGTTTTATGAATACTTTTCAGAACTGAATGAATTATAAGGATGAAATATGAGTCTCAGTTCTCTCTCCAGATCTATCATCCGATCATCATAGATTGTGGAATGCATTTCTGGAATTAATACATTTAAAAACTATGAAATGAAATACTCATATTGAGTATGGTTTAAACACCGCCACACCTCACGTGGTTGTCCCAGAGGCATCCAGGCATCCTAAAAATAAAAAGGGGAGAACAAAATCAAAAAAAAAATTTCAAAAAGTGACCAGACATGCAGGATGATTCAGAAAAGACGTTTTTTTAAACATTTCAATTTGAATGCCTATTGCACGCACACCACACATGAATTAGAGGCTTCTTACCGC